AGCGGAGGCCATCCCTGGAGGAGGCCATGAGAATGCCCACAGCAGCCAACAAAGCCCTTCGCTGAAAGGGATGTGGTGGCACATCACAGGATGGGGCCACCTCTGCATCTGTGGGCAGAGTGGACAGAAGAAATCAGCCAACTGCTTGTTGAAATGTACGGAGTGTTAATTTGCATAAGCAGTTCTAATTTAGAAATTAGGCTAAGAAATTCCGTTTCCAAGCCTGCAGTTTAACTCCAGGAACACACTTTCTGCCAGAACTTACTATGAAGAGGTTTAGGTTTGTAGGAACAAATGGCTTTCTTCTTTCTTTCCCTTCCCTCCTCCTTCCATTCTTCCCTTCCTCCATTCCTTTTCCCTTCCCTTTCTTCCTTCCTCCTTCCCTCCGTCCCTCCCTTCCTTCCTTCCTTCCTCTCTCTTTCTAGTGTGATGGGTATTTTCTTGGAAATGTGTGTTAAATAAGTTGGGGTAGATCAAATAAATGAGCCCCGCAACAAATGATGACAAATAAAAATAGTGGAGAATGTCTTCCATATATACCTAACCTCTATAAGTGTAATTAATATATAGTTAATATATTTACACATAATAGTGTATGTTAAAATGTAGAGAGAAAACTAGAGGGAAACGTGAAGTTCCACCACTTACCTGCAGGGGGAGCACAGCCCCTTGGTAGAGCAATGCCTGCAGCAGAGATGAACCCAGGGGAGCTGCTAGAAAAGGCCTGGTGCTGGGGCAGGAGAGGCGCATGGGCAGGAGGGGCGCTGGAACAGGAGGGGCGGGGAGTAAAAGCGAGGGAAGGACCACAAAGGCAAATGCAAAGTAAAAGAAGCAGGAACGGGGTCGAGGCATCTGAGACGAATGCCCAGCGCATCAAAAATGTGGAGACTCCCCAGCACAGCCGGAAGTGTGGCTTTCAGGAGCTGCTGTGATACTTTTGCTATGGGGAAAAAGAGTGTTAAATGTGTAGTGCAACTGCTTCCTCTTCTATCGGAAGAGCAAATCCAGAGAGAAGCTCTGTACCTTAAGGCCGTATTCCAAATCCGTAACTGCCTGCAAGAACGGCCAGACATGATGCAAAAAGCTAACCATTTCTGCAAACCTCAAATTCTTGGAGCTTTCAGGGGCAGTTCCTTCACCTCTTACCCTGTTCCACTTTGGCCACTTTCCACTGAAAGACAACGGAGAGGACGATGCACTGCTTGTACCTTTATCTAGGGAAGAGAGAATGAACTCTATTACATGCCTGAAAAAAATATTTTCCCAAATCGGATGCTAAGAAATCTGTTGTGAACAGTGCTGACAGTAAGGAGATCAGCACGCCTCGTCCTGCACATTCGCACCTGGACTAGCTCCTCACACTCGGCACCTGAACACTGTGGGCGGGACCAGCACGCCTCGCCCTGCACATCCGCACCTGATGCAGCACCTTCCGTGCATCACTCTGGGCATTTTTTGAAATATTGGTAACATTTCTCCCATGACAGGAATGTGCAGGGAGAAAACGAAACAGGTGATGATGACCTGGCATGCCCTGGGAACGGAGACAAGTGGCTTTCTCTAACCTGGGGCCTTGAGACAGGGGAAAAAGATGAGGAGTTTCCCAAGTTGGGTTAGATGGGGACGATGGATGGAAGGGCAAAGCGGATAGAGGAAGGTGGGGCATCCCAGGCCCCAGCGACGTGTGCAAGGACCTGTCGCAGCACATGGCGTCTTCAGGACCCCAAGGTGCAATTCGGTGTGGCTGGAGAATATTGTTCTATCAAAATTAAAAACTTAAGTCAGATAAAAAGGATCAAAAGACACATACCACATGGTCTGAGAAGGATGGGGGAACAATGTTCAATGCTTTAAGTGAAAAGGGAACTTATTCATTAAAAATCTTCCTTTCAGAAAGCTACTAGTGCTTTAGAAAGCACAAAGGATTTCAAACAGAGTATGATTAAGATACATATCCAATAGTCTGGCAACTTATAAAACATGCCAAAACTGGTTTTTAAAGAAAATACAGGGCTGGGTGCGGTGGCTCATGCCTGTAATCCCAGCACTTTGGGAGGCTGGGGGTGGGGGGGTGGCAGATCACCTTAGGTCGGGAGTTCAAGACCAGCCTGTCCAACATGGTGAAATCCCGTGTCTACTAAAAATACAAAAAATTAACCGGTCTTGGTGAAACACACCTGTGATCCCAGCTACTTGGGAGGCTGAGGCAGAATTGCTTGAACCCGAGAGGCAGTTGCAGTGAGCTGAGATGGTACCACTGCACTCCAGCCTGAGCAACAGAGTGACTCAGTCTCAAAAAGAAAGAAAAAAATACAAGTGTCTGAGAATTAAACATTTATGGAAAAAAGTTTCATCATCAAATCTGATGATTCTATAAACTACCAAAAGCAAACCTCCAGCGAAAACCGCAGAATGACTGACCTCCTGCATGCCACCGTCCTTGTTCCTCCATTCTCCTGCCTTGACCCAGCCCACTAAGCTCAGGCCCTCTCCTGTTCCCTGGTTCTTGGGAAGCACGTCTGGTGTGCAGAGGGCAAACCTTGCCCAATGCAGCTGTTACACTAGCAGGCAGAGATGTGGTCAAGCACAGCGTGTGTTAGAAGCAGGGTAGTAGTTAGGAACTCGCCCCTCCTCCCTGGGCTGTAGCAGAGCACACGTTGCCACAGGCAGGGCCACAACGCAAGTCCAATGACACATGCGGGGGGCAGCTCGACCTTACCTTGTTTGGGGGTTCATTTTCTAAGGGCAGCAAGATTCATTTTTGAAAACATGTATCAGGGCATACATTTCACATTCAAAAACACTGCCTCTCCTACCTCAGAGGCCTTGCTGTTTCCTTCTGTCTGCCACTCTTATTTACCGAGTACACACCCAGGTTTCCTTGAACCTGAGGACACTTTTCCAATCTGACTTCCTCGGGGAAACTTTGTCAGCCTGGAGGTCCTCTGGACAAGTCTCTTGGCTGATCTTGTCATCTTGCTAAATCTTGTCATCTCTATGTTAAACAGAGAGATTTCTTTGACATTGCCTTTGAGGTTACTGATTTTGAGTCATCCCATTATTTAGCCCTGCTACTGAATTTTCTTAGGCCAACAATTTTTTAGTCAAAGATCGTTTTAATTATAACCTCTTTCATACAGCCTCTTTTAGGTTCAAATGTTACCTCAAATCTCAGAGTGGCATAATCAGGTTTATCTTAATCCATTTAGGTTCTTAAAGTACCTTGGACTGGATAATTTATAAAGAATGGAAGTGTAGTGCTCATAGCTCAGATGGCTGGAAGTCCAAGGTCAAGGCACCGGCCGGTTCAGCATCTAGGAGGGCCTGTTTCCTCATCAGCAACACCTCCTCACTGTGTACTCACACGCTGGAAGGGGCAAAGCAGCTCTCCAGGGCCTCCTATAAGGGCACTAGTGACTTCATCAACTTCCAGAGGCCCCACCTAATTCCATCTATGTGGGATTAGGTTTCGACATACACATTTGGGGGACACACTCAGTCCTTCACAGGTTTTTGTTCTTGAATTATCGTGTTCCCTAATTACATTTTCTTCAAGATCAGTTATTTGTTCATCTTTCGTGACATGCTATTCACTTTCCTTAAATGTCAGATATCCTTGTTGAACGTGTGGAACTCCGAACGCAGCATTAGGACAACTCACAAATGTAGCTGCCCTGGATTTCCTCCCCAAACATATCCCTTCCTTGAGCAGGGAGACTAGGCTGGGCGCCGTGGCTCACACCTGTATTCCCAGCACTTTGGGAGGCTGAGGCGGGTGGATCACCTAAGGTCAGGAGTTTGAGACCAGCCTGGCCAACAAGGCGAAATCCTGTCTCTACAAAAAAAATTTAAAAATTAGCTGGGCATGGTGGCAGGCACCTGTAATCCCAGCTATTCAGGAGGCTGAGGCAGGAGAATCACTTGAACCCAGGAGACAGAGGTTGCAGTGAGCCGAGATCGTGCCATGGCACTCCAGCCTGGGCAACAAGAACGAAACTCCACCTCAAAAAAAAAAAAAAGAAAAAAGAAAAAAGAAAAAAGAACAGGGACACTAGGAGAATGGACTGCTCGGAGGGCAGGAGTGAGATTAGCATGCATGGACAGAGAACTGATGGGGAATCCCTCCCCACCCTATGCCACAGGAGGGCTCCAACTTAGGCTGGGTGCATTTTTCTCCAGGAAGAGCTGCGTCTCCTCTCCTGCCCCTTTCCCATGTCCTTCATGAACCACCACCACAGCAGAGCCGCACAGAGGGTACCCCCTTCAGAGGCCCTGCTCCAGCTGAGCCTGGTGGGTGGGGCAAATTCACAGGACAGCCTTCTCCTGAACCAGATCCCCTTGCTGCAGACTTGAACTTAAGGGTCTCTCCAGGTTTAGGGTAAGAACAGCTTTCCCCCCAGATTTTGTAGATTCTCCCAGCTGCCTAGCCAGAAACCACATTTTCCAGGCCCCATGTCAGTGCTCAAGCCTGTTTACAGCCCCAAAGATACCGAGCTCATACTAGGGGACAAATGTGCCAGGTACACAGCGGTTTAAAAGAAAATCCCTGTTCTCACGAGCTCATAGTTAATAATAACAATAAAAAACACATAATAAGCAAGACCATTTCAGAGTATGCTGAAGTGAATAAAATAAAAGGGGTAAATGCAAGTGGTGGGGCAGGGACAGGGAGGAGAATGGACATCTCCCTTAGGTCTGGAAGCTTCTTTGAACATGAGACCAAAACAAACCAGCTTCATGCAGTTCTAGGGGAAGGACATTCCAGACAAGGAGGGGCAAATATCACATCGTGAGGCAGGAAGGGCTTTGGCAAGCTCAGGTGCAGAGGCCGTGTGGCAGTGGGCTGGCCCAGCTCTGGCGCATGGGCAGGAGAGGGAAGAGGGGAGGCGAGGAAGAGCTGTGGGCAAGCACGTGGCAGGGACTCATGGTGGCATCCACACAACTGCCCACAGGTTGTTATCCAACATAAAGTATAAAAGAACAACTGAATATCAACAAAGAGAGAGTAAGTGCTTTTTATTCATTTGTAGTTATCAATAAAAGACCTAGCATTTAAAAAACTCCACTGTAAAACAAAGGTTACCATAAAAATGTATTTCGTGGGTTAATATTTCAATATTTATTTTTTAACAGAAAACACTCATCACATGCAAAACCTGTCACTTCACATCTTCAAGTTGAATAAGTTGACAATACCTAATCAAAAAGTACATGTGAAAAGAAAGCTTTTTCATAGTTGAACTTTAAGTCATTCAAAATTATTCAATAAAATGGATGTAGTGCTGGCCTGGCACGGTGGCTCATGCCTGTAATCCCAGCACTTTGGGAAGCCAAGGCGGGAGGATCACGAGGTCAGGAGTTTGAGACCAGCCTGACCGACATGGTGAAACCCCATCTCTACTAAAACTACAAAAATTAGCAGAGCGTGGTGGTAGGCACCTGTAATCCCAGTTACTCAGGAGGCTGAGGCAGGAGAATCACTTGAACCCGGGAGGCGGAGGTTGCAGTGAGCCGAGATCACACCACTGCACTCTAGCCTGAGTGACAGAGTGAGACTCCGTACCCCTGCCCCCGCAAAAAAAACGATGTATGTAGTGCTGACAAAAAAGTTTCATATTTGGCATTTTTCTCTTACCCTCCCAAATATTATCAAAAGGTCTGATTCTCTGGGTAACAGAAAAGTGACAAATTTCAGTTGCTACTGTTTGACAGTTTCATAAATTTAAAAAGCCACATCCTGCTATGCTTTCAAATCATTTCACTGAAACCTAGTTCCTATCAAATATTAAAAATAAATCATACATGTGATCCCGATTCCAGAGGGCCAGAACTATAGTGCTTTTAGAAAGTGACTGTTTACAGAGATGACTTACAAATAAATGCATTTTATAACAACCACACTGGGGGACTGCAACAAGATTCCATCTGCACATGGTGCTGTTTACTAAGACATGAAGAGCTGAAGGAGACTGAGATAGCAGCTCACAGACAGAGGGCAGAAATACGCAGGGCTTCTAGGCTGTACCGGCCCAGTTTATGTCCTACTTCCTCTTGATGTTTACAGCTGTTTCACTTAAAGTTTAAAAAGCCAGATTCTGTTACACAGCCTTAATCCTTACATTTTCATTTCCTCTACATGTTAGCGCCCAAGGAGTAATTTCTATAATATTTAGGCTAATATGAAATGAGAAACTGGCATTGCACAAGTCATGCAGTCTGCTCGCTTACTGAGACCAATGAATTAGGTCTAATTTCTCCTTTTACTAATAAAGGTAACTTGTAGTAAAAAGTCTCAACTTAATTGAAATGATAAAGTGCAAAAACAGCATAATCCTAGCTTTACTTATATATAAATATGCATGCATCACTTTCTACTGTTTTTTCTACTTGCACATTTTAAAATATTTTGGTATTATAAACGTCCGTGACCTACATAATAGCAATAATGCTTTAACCGTATAAATGAGACTGCGGAAATTCTATTATTGGCTCTATTTTTAAGGATTACAATGAAATTATGTACAGTATATAAAGCTTGTCAAACTGAACATGGTCTTAGGCCATTACTACTATTTCATTCCAATTTGGATTTTAATACAATTAACTTACAGATCTGAAATAAAAGCACTGCTTAATGGTTTCAGATGCATTTTGGTACTGAATATGTTTCAAAGAATCTTTACAAATAATAAATTATAATGAAGAGAACCTACGACTAAAGCTGCTTACATGGACAACAGGAGGAAAGACGATTGCAAATGTTATCTGTTATTGACAATTCTATGAATTAAAACTCATAACCACTTCTAGATTTCTTTAAAACAAGCAAAACTAAATAGCACAGACAAGAGTACTTTAATATAACCTTAATGGTCTAACAAACCTTCCAAATGGAAGGAAATACAAAATAAAGTTGACACATCAAATTTAACTTATACTAATATACTTCAGTATTACAAATTTACCAAGTCATTTTGCCAACTATGTGTAGAACCACCTAATATCAAAATATACTATGGTGGGTAAGCTCTGATTCCAGAGGGCTGAAGCCAAGGTTTTCAAAGACCACACGTACCAGCAGCCACACACACACAGGGTTGTGCGATCCTACGGCTTTATTGACACCTTTCATCATGCTCTTAACACTGATGTTTTCATGGGTTCCTTCCCTGTAATGAAACTGTGTAGATAATCAATTTCCATAAAGAAATGTACAGTTAAATTAAGAATATTAAATCTTTCACACATGGGCTCAAATAGGAAGTATTTTGTTTAGTAAAATGAAAATTACTTTTAAAAAATATCTGCAATGTTTTTGAAATGCAAGGCACCAATAGAGAGCAGACATTCCAGCTGAGTGATTGTCTGGGGAAAAAAAAAAAAATGGAACTGGTCAGTCCTCTGTCCTTGTTAATGAGAATACTTCCTTCTTCGTGACTATGCAACATCTTCCAGATAATCTGCAACATCACTGAGCTGGGATACAGTCAGGTCTTGTGTGAGGTCATCAAGCTTTGTTGTTCAAAAGAAAGAAAAGAATTAAGTGTCAGAATGTGAGTAGTCTTAAGTTATTTTTAAAAATCTAAACCACAATGAGATACCACCTTACTCCTACAAGAATGGCCATAATCAAAAACTCGAAAAATAATATAAATGTTGGTGAGGATGTGGTGAAAAGGGAACACTTTTACACTGTTGGTGGGAATGTAAACTAGTACAACCACTATGGAAAACAGTGTGCAGATTCCTTAAAGAACTAAAAGTGGAACTACCGTTTGATCCACCATTCCCACTACTGGGTATCTACCCAGAAGAAAATAAGTCATTATATGAAAAAGATACTTGCATACGCATGTTTACAACAGCACAATTCGCAATTGCAAAAACATGAAACCAGCCCAAATGCCCATTGATCAACAAGTGGAGATAAAGACATTGTGGTATATACACACGATGGAATACTACTCAGCCATAAAAAGGAACAAATAGGCCAGGTGCAGTAGATCATGCCTGCAATCCCAACACTCTGGGAAGCTGAGACAGGCAGATCACCTGAGGTCAGGAATTCAAGACCAGCCTGGGCAACATGGTGAAACCCTGTAGCTACAAAAACACAAAAATTAGCCGGACGATATAGCGTGTGCCTGTAGTCCCAGCTAGTTGGAAGGCTGAGGCAGGAGAATCGCTTCAATATGGGAGAATCGCTTGAACCCGGGAGGCAGAGGTTGGAGTGAGCCGAAATTATGCCATTGCACTCCAGCCTGGGTGACAGAGCGAGACTCTGACTCAAAAAAAAAAAAAAAAAAAAAAAGAAGTAACAAAACAATGGAATTTGCAGCAACCTGGATGGAATTGGAGACCATTATTCTAAGTGAAGTAACTCAGGAATGGAAAACCAAACATCACATTTTCTCGTGTATAAGCAGGAGCTAAGTTATGAGGATGTAATGGCATAATAATGACACAATGGACTTTGGGGACTCCAGGGAAAGAGTGGGAGGAGGGTTAGGGATAAAAGGCTCAAATTGGGCCCAATGTATACTGCTAGGGTGATGGGTGCACCCACGAATCACCATTAAAGAACTTATTCATGCAACCAAACACCACCTGTTCCCCCAAAACCTATGGAAATAAGAAATAAAAAACTAAAAATTAAAAAAACTGTTGCTGTAATTAAAGTATTACTTTATACTTCATAAACCAACTCATATTTAAACCTGTGTTGAGAAGTGATTTGCCTAAAATCATGTCTAATAAGTTAGTACAATCGTTTGAGTTCAATGTTTTATGATTACTCTCAAATATTTCAAGTGAAAATTTAAAATAAAACACATCTTAGACATTATTCCAATTTAATCTAAGAAACAAATTAGTGAAAAATCGTATTAAACTTCTTTACCTGAGCATAGTCCCAATGTATGATTCTGTTCACAGTATCACTCTATGAATTGCTAACTCTAAAACCAAAACTTACCCACATTAAATTTCACAAAAAGTTACTAAAAGGTATACTTTGGAAACTATCCCTTCTTCTGTTTTCATATGATGGCATAGAACATTAAGTTTCTAACATCAAGCTCGATATGGTGTCACACGTTAACACTGTGCCACCTGAAGCCAGATCACAAGTCCTTTTGGAGGCTGAAGTGAAAACAGAAGGGCAGACAGGACCGCCCATGGAGTCTCAGACTCCTAGCCCCGGGTTCACAAAGTGTTGTAAGAAATGACTGATTTTTATTTCTGTTTAAACTACTTGTAAACTAGAAAGTTAACCTATTAGCCAACTTATACCTATTCATTTGTATAAACAACTTATGATGATGGAGAAAGGAAATATTAATAGCTATTTAAGCATAATGCAGGCTGAGAAAACATTATTTCTTAAGTAAGGAAAAAACCTTACTTAAGTAAGGGTGAGGATACAGGCTCCAGAATATTGAACATACAGCTAGGCAGGTCTCACTGACAGCTGAGCAAGGACAGAACTCAACCTTTCCAGTCTCACCTAGACTCATCATTGTGGCGACAGACCAGGGGACAGCCACAGCCACACCCACACACACACTCTTAGGCATCATCTATGGCTGTCTTCTCCATACAATGGCAGGGTGGAGTAGTTATGGCCTGCAAAGCCTAAAATATTCACTATGTGGCCTTTTAGAGAACAAGTGTGCCAACACCTGGGCCAGATAATAACACACAAGAATAGGAACATCTTGTAGAGATGCAACAGTTCCATCCTGATATACTGTGAGATGCTTTTGTCTGTTAATCTGCCCCCCACATATCCTCTCATTTTGTTATTCTTCAGATACTCAGAAATTTAAGTTATAAGTAAAACCTTTTTCAACAGATAAGTCCTTGCCCTTCCTCTTGGTCCAAATACAGTCTTGCTGTAAAACTATCTCACAAAGAAAATTACTAGGAATCTTAATTACAGTTCTTATGCATTCAATTCAAATTCAGTTTACACAAAAACCGAAGAGTCAGAAAAGCTTGCAGACAGATTATAAAACAGACTCTGATACCTTGGAACTGTATTTTCTCCTCCCATCATTATTACAGAGTGAAATCGGTAAGGTATTCCATTTCGTTTACAAAGTAATTGAGTGTTGTATTAACACGAATGTCAAACTACAGACGAGTGAATACAGGAAAAACCGTGGATTGAAAAGGATCTTAATCTAGATAATTCCGTTATTGGAGGTCATTAATTTAGTTTTGCTTTAAGGCAAAGAAAAGAACACAGTAACAACCAGAAACTTCCAAAAAGAACAGCTTCATTTAAAGTAGTTACCAAGAAAGAAAACTGAATGAACAAAAGCTAACTAGAAATAAACGGCTATTTAATAAAGCCTTTCCACCAGGTACAGTGACTCACGCCTGTAATCTCAGCACTTTGAGAGACCAAGGCGGGGGGATCACATGAGGCCAGGAGTTTGAGACCAGCCTGGCTAACATGGGTGAAACCCCATCTCTACTAAAAATACAAAAATTAGCCAGGTGTGGTGGTACATGCCTGTAGTCCTAGCTACTCAGAAGGCTAAGGTAGAATTACTTGATCAGGAGGCGGAGGCTGCAGTGAGCCAAGATCCAGCCATTAGCCTAGGCAACAGAATGAGACTCTTATCTCAAAAAAAAAAAAAAAAAAAAACTAATAAAGGCGGCTTTCATGCCTCATTAGTTTTAGAATAAGAACTCAAAGTGGGCAACTTAGTTCAAAACTATAAAAATAGATTTTATATCACAAAATAAAAATATCTAAAAGGTACATTTTGAGTCTTGAAAGGGAAATAAAGGATCCCTGTGATAGCAAGTTTCATACAAATCAACAGGAATTTTTTGTAAGATTTTGAAAAGTTTTATGAAGTGTAAATGTTCACGTTTGCTGAATTAGATTGCTGTGCATTAACAGAAACCTGGGAAGCACACTTATGTTCTGTCCCTTAAACACGTGTGGCCCTCTTCCTCCAACGTCTACCTATGTCTTTGCTCACGCTGGCTCTCGTGCAGGGACTACCCTCCCCAGGGCCTCTGTTCCTAGTTCATCCTCTGTCATTTCTGGTTCAAAGTCACCTTCTAACAACCCTGCTCCTCCCAACATTCTGTCTCTTCACACAGCGCCCTCCAGTGAAGCTCTGCAGTCAGGGCGGCACAGACACGTCCCTGGATCTCCCTTCTGTTCTCATGGCGCTTACCATGTTCCTCCTCAGCCCTCACAGAACCAAGTCAGTCATCTTTCAAAATCCCGATCAAATATTAGTTCCTGCTTCTGAATTTTCATGGCCCATGAATGACTGGCATTTTATGGCACCTGTCACTATAAAAAGTGATTACTATAAAAAGTGTCACTATAAAACTTGATTTTCCTATGTTTGTGTACATGGCTTTTCTCTCTCTGATCCTGCATAAATTTGAGGGAAGAAGTCTGTATCTGTGCCTATGACAGAAATGTCTATTGTGACTATAATCAATAATAGTATTAGATACCATTTATTGAATGCCTATTCTGCTAAGCACTGAGCTATATGCTTTACACGCTTATCTCTAATTTTCACAACCACCATCTCTCTTGCAAAATAGATGTGAGACCCAAGGGCCCAAAAGTTAAACAACTTGGCCAAATTTGTGAGTGGTAAGTAGCAGCTCCAGGACTCAAACCCAGATGTGATGCACTTACAGAACTTGCCCATTCCACTGAGCGATCTCCTTCCTCACACCCCCACATCCCCAGCCCTGTGCTTTCTAAATAGTAGGTGCTTAATGGACACTGGTTTTGGTCACCTTGGCTGAAAGGTGACCACATTGTCTGCTGTATTCTTACTGCAAAGAACACATTTGTGTTCCCCAGGTGCCCAGTATCAATTCTCTGCACAGAAGGCTTTAGAAAATGCTTCCTGATGAAGTACACTGACTGTCAAAGTCCATTCTATGTAAAAGGCTGCTAATAAATGGCAAAACTATCTAAATTTAAGCTTTTAAGTGAAAATTTCTAGGAACATTGATGTGCCAAACCCAGTTAGTAGGACCCAGTGAGAAGCAGCCTAACAAAGCCCAGACTCCTGGACGCCATCCAAGGCCTTCAATGGCAAAGGGATGCCACGCCTCCTCTTCGACCCACATCATTTCACAAATCCTAGTTTAACAGTCATTTATTTGAGTCCTCTACCTCACATTTAAAGAATTCTTCTATAGTTTCTTTGGCATAACTTTAAAGCAACATTTTTCAGGCCTCTTCAGGATGATGCAGGGTGAAAAGAGAAAGCTAAATTTATAATTATAAGGGTATAATACATCAGGAATTAGAGAAGTGCTTTACATATTATCGTTTAACCTTCAAAATAATCCTATTGCATAGGTATTAATACTTCCACCTTACAAGTAAAGAAACTGAGGGTCAAAGGTTAAAGCTTAACTAAGAAAATATATGAAAGAATAAGAATGCAAACATAGATGTTGCTAACTTAGATTGTGTGGTTGCATTGTAAACACTACCTCTCTCAAAGGCCTTCTCCCTGTGTGACGATCACAACGCTTAGAGAATCCCACCTCGTTCTGGAAAGCAAGTCCCCTCCCAGCCATGGCAACCTCTGACCTGACTGGTAAACTCATCTGAGCTGGGGACAGCTTGATGTGGGTGCTGACAGGTGACTCTGCAATGCTACAGCTCACCATTGAAGGATCTTCTGTTCTCTGCCTACATAAAAAGGTCAAGTTTGGATCTCAAATACGGACTCTTACAACTTTATGGCCTACTGTCTTGTCTCCTGCGGTTTTTAGCCCAGCGTGGCTTGCATGTTCAGATGTCGCAACTGGCCAAGATGACCACACTCTCTGCACTGCAGGCTCAGCTTCATCCTGTGATCACAGTACCCTATACTGACTTCCATCTACGATACCAGGTGGTCAATTCTCACCAGGCCTGACCCACCCTGACCCCTCTTAATCCACAGCAATTCCAGTGCCCCAGGAATAATCCTCAGGTATTTCAGCAGCGTGACTTGGGTACCAAAGGAAGTGACAACCAAAACCAATCTTACACATTCATCAAAGACATTCTTTATAAACTCGAGCCAGGACTGTGTCATGACTTTTCATAATTTTCAACTGTTTTTCTACTAATTAGTATGAATTTTTGAAGCTTTACAGTAAATCAACAAATAGGTTAAAAAAAAAGCACTCTATGGGATATGCAGAACACCACACCTTATCACTGGTATTGATGTCATCTATTTCCACAGAAAGGTCTTCTTCAATCTCTTCACCAATACTTATCTCACTTTTCTCTGAGCGATGGCTGGTACTAATTTCAGGAGGGGAAAAAAAAAATAAGAACTCTGAAAATAAACATTTAAAGAGATTAACTACCATTCTTTAAACATTCAGATATTTCTTTTCATCCTTTAAGTAAAATATAACATTAACTATAATTAATTTCATACATACTGTCTTGCTTGACCCTTAAAATAATGTGGCAAGGGCAGCAGCAGTCAAGTCAATGTAACAGATGAAGAGATGAAGGTTCAAAGCAGTGACTTTGGTCACAACAGCAAGAAAGAAACCAACCCAGATTTTTACAATTTCATCTACTACATCATGCTCTTTCTCAAAAACTGTATAGTAAATTATAAAAAATATAGACTTCCAATTGGAAAGATAATCTGTCAACTAAATAAAATTCTCAGGCATCTAATTTAAAATTTCGAATCATATCCACAACAAATATTACTTCTACCTTACATATTATATTTCTGTGTATAAGAAAGGAATCAACGGGCATGGTGGCTCTTGTCTGTAATCCCAGCACTTTGGGAGACCCAGGTGAGTGGATCACTTGAGGTCAGGAGTTCAAGACCAGCCTGGCCAACATGGCAAAACTCTGTCTCTACTAAAAATACAAAAATTAGCCAGGCGTAGTGGCACACACCTATAATCCCAGCTACATGGGAAGCTGAGGCAGGAGAATGGCTTGAACTCGGGAGACGGAGGTTGCAGTGAGCCCAGATTGCGCCACTGCACTCCAACCTGGGCAACAGAGTGAGACTCTGTCTCCAAAAAAAAAAAAAAAAAAGAATGGCAATCTTACTAGGGCAGACCACATATTAAGAAATGTGATCTGAATCAAAAACCTAATTTGAGAGCGTCATTATTTCAAGTCAAATGGAGACAATTCCTGCCACAAAAAGGTATGGAAGGAAGAGAAATTCAACACTTACAACATGGCAACTGTACTGCTTCTAAATGACTTCTCAGTTAATTCTTCAATGTTTCTCTTCATCTCATTCTTACCACCAAGTTTCCTGAACATAATGTGTCTATATTCTAATGTAAAATCAAAAACATGCTCTAAAGTCAAATATTTAATTTTGGATTAACTATCTTTTCTTCACCTTCAATCAATATGAACAACAGAATCAAATACACTAAAATAAGCACCAAATATAATTTTGTCTTGTTTGTGTTTGGAAATTGTTTACAAATATGTATATATTTATGTATTTGCCTAATAGTTTTTCTTACCTGTTAAAATCATCCACATAGTCATCGTCTTCTCCAGTTCCTGATAAGTTTAAGAAAAGATATGTTATATCTAATACACGTCACAATTTACCTACCATTAAACACACATTTCCTTTAAAAAAATTAATTATATTGCATCATTTAAAAAGTCCCGGACTAGAAATAACATTTTTAGCATATATAATATGAAGACAAATGACAAATGAAAGACCTAAGAAATAATAAACTGTTACAAGTCACTATAAAATGTGGTTAACACCTCATCTTTACTCCAGGTACTCTAAGGCAATTAACATGGGGCACGCTCACGATTAATAAGGTCCCTCGACTTAATGGCATATAGCAATAGCAAGTCATCATTAATCCCCTCTAGGTACTAGATGAACTACTGAGGGTTTTCAACATGCTAATTGTTTCGTTATAAAAGTTAAAAACACTCACGAAGTGTGAAGAGGCCACGGAGCACAGCAAAAAGGGCACCTTCAGTCAGACAGAGCAGGGCTCAACTGCCACTCCACAGCTCTGCCACCTGAGAATGTAAGGTGCCCTTTCTTGGCCATGTCCTCAGCTCTGACGTACAGCCAAAGCCACACCAATCAGAGTTAACACAAGGATGCAGGTACATGGTGTGCTTAACAGAGACCTTGGTCCACAGTAAGATCTTAATAAAAGGCAACTGAATGAAGGTGGGATGGTGAATGGTGAGGCAGTGTTACCAGTTTCTCAAAGTGCACCACGAGCCTTTGATAGAGTGGGCACCTTAAGATCAACTTAAGGCTATAAAGCACAAATCTGCAAATCAGCAGCCCTTCCCTCCCAGGACTTCTGAGGGCTAGATAAGGAAAAAGGGCTGTCAGCCTCAAAGCAGACTTGGAGGCACATGAGAGCCAACTTAAAATGTGAATGGATGGCCTATGAAAGACCCGGGAATTATGTACAGCCACATGCAGAAGATGTGGATCACAAAAAGAAGACCTGGCGTGACAGAAAGCTGTTCAAAGATCCTGTGGGCCTTGTCCTCGATCCTCCCTCAGATAAGGCTGGACTGTCTCTAAATCGGTTGGACTGCTGTGGGGATTCAAGCTCTGTCCAGACAGTTAGATAAGGTAATTCTCTTATGGTCAAATCTTATGATTAATTTATCAAGCAGATGAGTGATGACTAGGTCCCCTAGAGGTATAGCAATGACTAAGATGGTATCTCAGATCTCAAGGAGCAAACACTCTAGTGAAGAGAAACAGTGGAACAAACCAAATACTGCTAGTGCAACTGGGAAGAACTCCAAGGATGCAACTGAGTGGAAACCTAGGTTGCAGAGGTACAAATTATTGGGGACAGTGTGTTCCAACAAGAGGAAACATGTGACACCCCTGAGGTGGGGAAGGGTGCGGTGGTTTGAAAAACCACCAGTGCAGCCCAGAGCAGTGACGCACGTCTGTAATCCAGCTACTTGGGAGGCCAAGGCGGGAGGATCACTTGCACCCAGGAGTTTGAGACCAGCCTGGCATTGCAAGATCTACCCAAAAATTAAAAATTTATTCTATTTTTAAATTTTAAATTTTTAAATTTTTAAAATACTGTCTCAAAAAAAAATTTAAAACCACCAGTAAGGAAGTCACACAACATAAAACAATGAATTTGGGGAACAGAATGGGTGGAGGGAGGAAAAAAGGAGTTGCAATAAGAGGGGTTGGCAGAAGCCAGATCATGCAAGCTTGGCTGGTCAGGGAAGCTCGTCTGGGGTGGGGTGGGGGAAGACAGGAGTGACAAAGTCCAGGGAAGCACTATCTCACTTCTCTTTTCCCGGAGATAATCTTACCACCGCAAGAAGAAATGTGCTTACAGGAGGCAACAATGAAAGTAAGGAAAGCAGAAGGCTGTCAGAAAGTCCAGGTCAAAGATAACAGGGGTAAAGGCTTGGGTCAAGGCAGGTGTCCCACAGATAAGACAGATGGGTAGATGATATGGGGTGGGGAGAATGTCAGCAAACAAAGAAAACATGAATCCTTGTTACTGTTACACTCAAACCTTGCCCAGTAATGAACTGGAAATCCCTGACCATAAGCAGTCAGGAGGGACGTTTCCAGCTTCCTCTCCTCTCGAGAATCAAGAGCTCGTCTCCACTTAGCCTCAAAGGTTAAAGGGCTGCAAGTGCTTGACAGAAACTAGGCACTGTCAGGGCAAACTAGGCACTGTCAGGGCCGAGTAGGAGAGGTGGAAATCTGATTAAACAAACCATGTATGTGGCTGGTTTGCAAGTGCTAAGTAAAACCAGCAGTGGCAGCTACTAAAATGTCAGCCTACAAGGACCCATCATGGTGTTCCTATGTATGAAGGCCAGTGAGGAGAGCAGAGGTGGACACTGAGCTGAGACAGCAAGGACAGCTGTGGCTGCAATGTGGACTTAAAGGAAGCTAACTGGATTCCCCACCTGCCAGCATTTGTAGTCAATTCAAAACACAAGGTATTTACTGAATAATGTGCTATAACACATTAGATTCTGACTTCTTCGTTATGTATTGTTTAGTATCAACAATAATTTAAGCCAGTGTCAAAATGATTAACAGAATACATATAGGTTGAGCATCCCAAATGCAAAAATTTGAAATCCAAACTTGAATGAAATCCAAAACTTTTCGAGTGCCAATGTGATGCTCAAAGAAACTGCTCATTGGAGCATTTCAGACTTTCAGATTTTCGGATTTGGGAGGCTCATCTGGTAAGAAAAATGCAAACATTTCAAAATCCAAAAAAATCCAGATTCCAAAACACTTCTGGTCCCGAGCATTTGCGTTACGGGATACTCAACCTGTACTACATTACTTTAAGGGTCAGCAAATTTTGGCCCTCAGGCCAAGGATTCTTGTTTTCTTCCTTTTTTGACAGTCTCTCCTCCCCATCCCATACCCTCTGTCTTATCTGCCCTTACCCTAGTCATCTTTGGCCTGGACTTCCTGACAGCTTTCTGCTTTCCTTACTTTCATTCTTGCCTCTGGCTGATGACCTGCTTTTTTTCAGCCTGTAAACTAAGAATGGCTTTTACATTTTTAAAGATTGTTTAAAAAAAAAAAAAAAAAAAGACCATATGAGACACAGTACATGCCGTCAGCAAAGCCTAAAACATAGACTATTTGGCCCTTTACAGAAAAAGTTGAGTAACTCTTGCTTTAAATATGCAAAATACCTATCTACAAACACTCCATTTGGGCACTTTTAATTAATATTTGTCTGCCAAACTAAAATAGATTGTGCTCTAAAGCTTTACTTGTAGATTATTTCTTTGGAACTCAGAATGTAAGTTCCCATTGAAATGGTTATTTCAGTGCTGTCTACGTAACACACGGGCAGTAAAACACAGCGGTGAGGCTCTGTGTGATGTAGCAGGACTCCAAAAGCAGCATGCCCTTGGGCAAGTTACTTAACCTCGATTCTTCATCTGTAAAACTGGAGATAGTAATAAAACCTACCTCATAGGATACGAATTAAATAAAACAATTCCTTGGTACAGCGCCACTTATCACTAACATCATTATTCTCCTAGGCTAGTCCACTAGCATGTCTCTATGTATTACTCAAAATACCTAGAGTACGGTATATTTAAAATGTGAAAAACCCAGACAGAACACAACATGGTTGCAAAACTAAATAAATCTTTATTTCTAGTGAATCCTAATGCCTAGCTAAATGACAAACATCCAGCTAGTGAACTGGTAGTTCTCACCTGCGTAACTACCCCAATTCCAACCCGAGGTAAGCCTAAGTCCCGAAAGAAGTGAAGTGAAGGAGCACACCACCCTCCTGCCTGTACCCAGCAACTCTGCAGCCCCAGTAACCACGTTCCCTCCTAAGGATGAGAATTCTCAGCAGCTCCCCACTCAGAAACAGGCGGGAAAACCCTCACTTTGGTAAGAGAATAGAGCAGTCAAGAGAAAAAAGCTAAAAGGTTTGGCAACAGAGTGAAACACCACAAAGTGAAAAAAAAACAGAACACAAAGGGGACAGGGCAGCCATCACGGCGCAGAAGTCAGGAGTAAAGTCTCCAGTGGCAGTTAGCCATTGAGGTCGAGTGGAAAAGAACATCCAATGGCAACCACAACCACAGCCGACAGGAAAAGCACAAGGGAGGGAAAGGGGGCAGGCCCACCGAGCTGGCCAGCCAGCAACCAGGACGCACAAAGAGCACAGGGCGGCACAACTAGCAACTCAGTTACCAGGACTCCAGGGCACTGTGTGAACAAGAATCCGGGCGGCTCAGGGAACATTTATTCTTCTGCAAATGGGGGAACAAAGTAACATAAAAAGAAAACTAACATTTACTAGGCACCTACCATGCCAGGCACTGTACTTTAATTTACGTATGAAGAGATATTTAAATCCTATTTATTCTTTAAAACAAGGCAGATGTTACTAGTTCCACTTAACAGATGAGGAAGTGGCAGTTTAGTTTATCTCCCTACGCTACTCATCAATCAGTGCCACATCTGAGATGTCACTTCCATCCAACTCCAAGCCCAAGTTCTTTGCACTATCCAAAACGTCTCTCCAGAAGGGGGAAGGGCGTTCTCGGAGCTGCCCTCGGACAGGGCTGGGTTTTAAAAGCATATGGGACACAGCTGTCTTTCTCCCCAACCTGCCTGTGCAGCTGTCTTCCAATGCTTCCATGTGTGAGTGATTACAGACCAGGAAGCGATGCCATCACATCCACAGAGAGCATAGGAAGTGGCCATCGAGAAGCTGGCTGCACCGATTCCTTCAGGTCACCAAGTTTGCCTTTACATAAATGAGTCTGCCGTAAGTATGCCTGTCACCCTGCTACAGTCTAGTACAGAACAGAACACTCAATGAGAACTGTGCTCTCAGCATATGGTCCAGGGCTCGGTAATGTTCACACTGACACTCTTACTTCCATAGGAAAGAACGTACTTACATGGCAGGCTTACCAACTTCTGCTCCATAGAACAGAACTGAACACGTCTCACAATTTTTCTTTCAATAAGTCTGTTTCCCCATTAGACTGAATTCTCTGAGGCCTGGACCATGTACTACCAGCATCTAGCAAATGGCTCTGCCTCTGCACAAATTTTTCTATCTGAACTGAAATATCTTCCCTTCTCTCTTATACATCTACTTAACCATGAAGCTTCTGCACAGAAGTCACTTCTTATAAAAGGTCTTCCCTAAATGCCAAGACTGGACAAAGGTAACCTACTAGCCATTTCCATACAAATATATACTGACCCTTTTACACTCAAAATATCTGTAGATGCCCGTTTCATGTTCATATTCCTGACCAGAATTTAAACTCCATGAAGACAGAGGTTCATGAGGACATGATGGCTGTTGCTGTAGCCATCTCTCAAATAGGGTGTAATCCTGAACACGTAAAAGCCATTCAAACACCTGCTGAATGAGCAGCGGCAGAAAGGTGTTCAGCGTAGGCAGACTGAGTCACTTCTTTTACAACCTTACCCTAAAAATAATCACTTTAAAACGATCAACACAAAAACTGGAAATCTAGTTACCTAATCCAAGTGATCCAATTTTATCACTGATCAATTTCAGATCTTTCAAAACTGTATTTCCCCTTTTACCTGTGAACAGGAAAAAATACTAGCATTAGAGTGACTTTTAGAATACAACAGTCTCTAAACCACATCAATTTTTGTTGTTGTTCAATATGGGGGCTTCTTTATGACAGAAGCATAATAACCTAAAACTAAGGAAAAAATAAACTGTGATTAATGAATGCTTAAACTATGCATTACAACCCTTTTTTTGAGACGGAGTCTCACTCTGTCACTCAAGCTGGAGTGCAATGGCGCAGCCTCGGCTCACTGCAACCTCCGCCTCCCAGGTTCAAGCGATTCTCCCGCCTCAGCCTCCTAAGTAGCTGGGACTACAGGCGCATGCTACCACACCCAACTAAGTTTTGTATTTTTAGTAGAGACAGGGTTTCCCTATGTTAGATAGGCTGGTTTCAAACTCCTGACCTTGTGATCCACCCGCCTTGGCATCCCAAAGTGCTGGGATTAAAGGCGTGAGCCACTGCGCCCGGCTACAACCCTTTTTAAACCATAAACAATACTACTTTATTGAAACACAACCACCAAAAAATATTTTTGCCTAATTATAAGACATCACTTTCCATAAACAGCCCTGTTAGGTATGAATTCATAGACTACTGTTAATTATTTTCATGAATCTTATTTTTCCTTTGAACTTCTAAATTTTTCTTCAATACAACTGCTATTTCATTTACTAAAGTGACAATCCTCACTGGTTTTTGGTCCTTTGTTCTCAACGTCCTCTCTAAATGATCATTCTCTAATCAGTGTCAGAATGACACGTTCATGATGTCCTGGATTCCTTTCTTAAAGGCGGCAGTAACCACGGGAAAGAAGCAAATGGGAAGGGATATGAACCTTATAAATACATAACTGGTTTAAGAGAAGCAACAGGTCAGCTCTCTTATGTGCCCTAGGAAGTCCCACAGTATATCAAGCAATACAAAAAGATTCGGAAGTACTGGACAATTATGCAAAACTCACACTGCAAATTCCTAGTGAATCTACTTTCGGAAACTTTCCAAAAGAGGTACACGAGCTCTGAAACACCACGCTAATTAAATACAACATTTACTATGATATGGTTTCCAAAGGACCTCTGCCCATCCTACCTGTTCAGGGCTATGCTGTTTAAATTCCTATCACTGTGTGTGGGGAGAGGTGGGAAAGTAACTGGTGCCAGAGCTAGACTATTCCACATGTAATCACTGCTCTTTAGCTCTGCTGCATTTACGATGACATGTCAGGTCATTCTTGAAAATGATCTGCAGAATAATTTTTTATTTAATATTTTATGATACTTACTGTGGTCTCACTAAACAAATTTTTTAAAATTAATTGAAAGCAAATCCGACTCAAGTCACTGTAAATGTCCAAAAAAGGAGAGATGATTTAAAAATTATATTTCTATAGATAATACAAATCAGCTAAAAAAATCAACTAAAAAGTATTCCGATGGTATGTAGGTATAGGAAGGGGCAGAATACAAACCAACATATAAAATATGACCACATTAGAAGTAACAAAACATTAACAGGAAAGATTTCCAAGTGATAAAATTATAGGTTATTTTAGTGATTTTCCTGGAAAAAAAAAAAAAAATCAACAATAATCACAGAGTGCTTAATTAGAGAAAAAATATCCCGAGTATTCAAGCCCACATCTTTGGGCACTTACTCTCAGAGTCTTTTAAGGAAGGGGCCCCCGCCAGGGAGCTGAGTCCACTTTTTAAGGGGGGTGCATCCGAGAGCGAGGCCAGGCTTCCCGGTTGCTTCCTAGGTTCACTCCTCCTAGCAAGAAACAAGGACAGTTAATCGGTGCTCTTATGTTCTGCCACTAAACACTTTTATTCTGCCACTGAAACAAAAGCAACTTAAAGATACTTTATATGCACAGTGGCTGGAAATCAAGAATATAGACTTTAAAAATTCAAAACCATAAAGTATACCAAGGGAGTGCAAACTACAGATCAACCACAATCAGCACAGCCAGGGTGTAAGAAATCAGCTCACCTCTCTTTAGGATTCTGTTTGATAATCTTATAAACTAAATTGACCTCTGCACTGTGATTTTTTTCAGAAGCCCTTTTCCATCACCCAGACATGCAGCCAAGGGACAATATAGGAGTTTATTAGCAAATAAGTGCCACCTCTCAGATTAAATATTGTTTACAGAAGCCACAAACAGCCATGCTGATGAACTCCCCTTAAAGTCATGACCACTAACCTCAAGGGTACCTTTGAAACTGCCCAACAACCCCCTGGGTTTCCACAGTCCCTTCTCGCTTACTTTGTTATAGAAAGATTTCACACTTTCTCCACTCTCTTCAAATCTCCAACCTCCGTCCTCCATCCTCACTCAACTATGAACTAAGGTGACAGCTTGTACAGGTGCCACCATCATATCCACCCCCTGCCTACAACGGGACCCACATGCTCTCCACTTTTCCAGCAAACACAAGCCCCTGCATGGGATTCCATTGCTGTGCAGCCCTCCAGGAGTTCTCCTCTCACTCCCTTACATCATTAATTCTTCCATCTTTAAAGCTGAGCAGTTCTCGTCTGCATACATGCTGTTCTTTCTCCCACCTAAACACGGTTTTCAGCCCTAAATCCTACCCCTCCAGCCACCACCCTGTTCCTCTGTACACTTTTACAACTCATCAGAAAACTATTTGTCATCTACAATCCTTTCCTGTCTTGAATGCACTCTAATTCTCTCACCTGCCTCACACCCCGATTCCAACAAAACTGTCAAGGTCATCACTGACCTCCAGATGGCTAAATCTAATGGCATCATACAGCTACTCCTCCCTACCGCCACCTCCAAAGACACCACTCTCCTGGTTCCATCTCCTCCACTGCTTCCAGCTCCCTACTCTGGCCTCAAGGTGTGCAGGACCTGCTTCCTTGGTGATCCTCTGTAGTCTCCCACACCCACATTATCTACAAACTGAAGACTCCTAATTTACATCTCCAGCCTAGACCTCTCCCAATCCCAACTCATATACCCAATAGCCTACTTCGGACTTCCACTAGCAATCTTCTCTAACTTAGCACAGCGACAGGGGCCTCCAGGCTTTCATGCCACCTGTCTGTGCAATCCACTCTTCCTCTTGCCATTCTTCATCTAATGGGTTTCCAACCTTCTAGTTTTGCAGGCTAAAAACCATGATGCCACTCTGGATATTACTTTTTTCTCTAGCACTTACTGGCAAATCCTTTTCCATCTAACCTCAAAATACTTCCAAAACCCACCTATTTCTCCCCACCACTTCTATCACTTCTCACCTGAATAATCATTAATGGCCTCCTACCTGGAAACTCCAAGTCCAACCTTCCTCAGCAACCCTGGGATCCTTCTGTAATGGATGCCGGATCAAGATCCTCAGGGCTTCCAGTCTCAAAGGAAAGCCATCCAGCCCCTCATCTGAGTCCACCTCATCTGATCCCCATCTTGCTCTCTCTGCTACGCGCCCCCCCTCACCTCCCTGCTGTCTGCTGTTTCCTCTCCCCAGAGCTCCATCAACCCATGGCAACTCCCTCATCTCCCCTAGTTCTTTGCTCACTGGGCAGCTCCAAGTGAGGCCCCCACCAATTTGGACAGCTGACATGCACCTGCCCTGACCACATACTTGGGCTTCCATCACTGCTTTGCTCTCATCACCCAACACACCGCAGCATAACCCTCACTGCCTGACTCTGTTGCCAGAGCGGGAGCTTCCTGAGGGCAAGAGTCTTCCCTCTTCTATCATTGCTGTACCCCACCCTGGAACAGCCCTGGCAAGTGGCTGACAATCTACACTTACCTGTTAGAATAAATCATGTCTAGGTTTTTCTAAAACCTGGGGTTGTTTTACAACATGAAAGGCATTAACAATGCATAGTTAGATTTATGGATCCAATAATTATAAACCATCCATAGTTCATTATTTTTTAACTATAAAATGAAAACATTTATTTTTAAACCCCCAGTCTCATAGTTCAAAAACTATTTACTCACAAACCATAAGTTTTCTCTGGCTTGGGAATGGGATCATCAAAGAAAGAATCTCCTTCCATATCATCCTCATCTGGACAAAGGCCGGCTTTGTCTTTGCCATCTAAAGTTTTGTTGCTTAGAAAAGATCCAATTTTTGTTTCATGGGACAGTAAGTGAAGGCTGCTTTTGCTCTTGGGTTCTGACAGGGAGACACTTGTATCACTCTGATTGGCCTCATTGTTGGCTTTCTAGAAAGAAAGAGAAAAGGCCTCCTTGGTGAGATAAAACTTTAAGATATTTTAAATAATAAAAGAAGTCTCATGAGCAAAGGGAAACCTGTGTTTGTGTGTGTGCAACCTCTGTGTGTGTGCGTGTGTGGGTGTGTGTGTGTTGGGGGCACCTCCCAGCAGTGTGAACTGCAGAGCAATGCCATGATTCATCACTCCATCCCCAGGATTCCTAACATGGCAAACTTTCAAAGGGGGAAAAATATTAGAGAAATATATTAATACCATTCCTTTCCTCTTTCCCTAAATGGAAATACCTTTAGTATACCTATCCCATTTATAAACACTTTCCCATTGAGAAACAATTTCCCATATCCTCTTCCATATGTCATTGCTTTATAAATTATCTTAAATTAATACATTTTTCAACTTGAAAACAGGAGAGACGATTACTATTAAAGGAGAAAAGAAAGATTACATATGAATAAACCAAGCATTAAAGTAGTCATCCGTAAAAATAGCCATTTTCCATCCAGTGCTAAACACAACAGGCATCAAGGTGAAAGACACTGCCTTCCACCACTTGTGTTTCTAACATAAATATTTGCTAATTAAAATAATTATCTCAATTCTGACTTCCAGGGTAACTTCCTAACCTATACTTATTTTGATGTCCATGGACATATATATCTGTGTGTGTGTATGTGTATATTTCTCTACGTATCTTAACATCAACATTATAAAAAAAATTCTGAATCGAATCATCCTCATCCATGCGCTTGAATATAGAGTGATGTTACCACTTTTCTTTTCTTGTTTTCAGGGAGTCCTAACCTTCACAGCTGACTTTCACTCCATTCTTGGTCAGATTTCTTTCTGCCCTTAGACGAGTCTATGTTAATAATAATGAAAAAATAAATAATGCTAGTAATAATAAAAAGCAGCTAACATTTATGGTGAACATTCAAATGCTTCACCTTATCTCATTTAATCTTCAAAATGGCCCTGTGATCTGGAGATAGCTTTATCTCTGTGGATATAAATAAGGAAACACAGAGACAGACATTTATGTCACTTGTCAAAGTCTCCAGGTAGTTAAGTGGTAAGGTCAATATCAAAGTCAAAGCCTGATTCCAGAGGCTAACTCAATATTTATGCTATTAGGCTAAATTATAATAAATTTGTGGGCTTTATGGGTTAAAAATGGCAATTTCCCAAAATTCAGCCTTGCGTACTAAAGAGAGCAGTATTGTGTAAAATACCTGTGGAGTACTAGAAAAAGCACTCAACTGAAACAAAGAATCTGGAATGTAGTCCAAAATTATTAACTGCATTTTTTTTTTAAGAAACAGGGTCTCACTATGTCACCCAGACTAGTCTTAAAACTCCTGGGCTCAAGCAATCCTCCTGCCTCAGTCTCCCAAGTAGCTGAGTTTATGAGATTACAGGCACAAACTACACCCAGTCGTATAATCTTTTTTTTTTTTTTTTTTTTTTGAGACAGAGTCTTACTCTGTCACCCAGGCTGGAGTACAGTGGGGTGATCTGGGCTAACTGCAACCTCTGCCTGCCAGGTTCAAGCAATTCTCCTGCCTCAGCCTCCTGAGTAGCTGGGATTTCAGGCATGTGCTACTATGCTTGGCTAATTTTTGTATTTTTAGTAGAAATGGGGTTTCGACATGTTGGCCAGGCTGGTCTCAAATTCCTGACCTCAAGTGATTCACTTGCCTTGGCCTCCCAAAGTGCTGGGATTATAGGCGTGAGCCGTGAGCCACCGTGCCCGGCCCATATAATCTTAAGCAAATTAATTTCCTAGGCATGAGTTTCCTCAAGAATTGAACTAGATTCGTATTTTTCAGACCAAATTATATCTAGGAGTTAAGAAAGAAGGGATGGATGGCTGAGAAAAAATTAAAGAGTAGTAACTACTGAACCATGGTGACTAAAGTCTGGGTTAGACATCATCAAACAAGATGTTCTTGAAGGATGGTTTCACTTTTCATATGAGTACAGACAGAATGCATTATGCATGTCTTATGATATACGTTTACATCTTTACACCAGGTAGAGGTCTTGACTAGTTGACAGTAGGCAAGATACATGCTGTGCAAATTTAGTGCCTTCTAGAGAGCTATACATTCCATTTTATTAATATAAATTAATGATTATAAAGAGATGTCTGAAAAAATAAATACCAAGTTATAATTTTAGACAACATATTTTCAAAGAGGCAGAAACTTTCAAAAATTTCCTAACAACTTTCTTGACGTTTTCCTGGTATTACCAAATATAGAAAAGTATTATGTAATTCACACCAGTTGTAATTTCTGATTTTTACATTGTTTTAATAATGGATTTATTTAGAAGAATATGCATTTGGAAATAAATACCCTGATGTGACATTTAAACATATGTACAATGACAGAGCCTGTGGCCATGACAGATTCCCCTTCTAAACACTCATGAGAAAGTGCCAAAGAATAACTGGTATGAAAGAAACTGAAAAATGTAAATGTAAAGCAACATTATGAGAAACAATAATTATTCTGATTTCCCCAAGAATTCACACTGCCAACGTAACTGAAATCCACATAATGAACTATCTAATATCAAAGCTGAACAACTAATAGGTATCCATGATTATTTTTTGACAGGTTTGACCAATATCCCTGCTATAGACAGAAAGACCAGTTTTAGGAAGACAAGTTTTACAGAGAATTACTATATTACACAACACATACTTGTAAACATAACATAATTATTTTGTTTTAAAAATATAGTTCTCTTAATCCAGGAAGTAAAAATAAATTCTGAAACAATCTGCTTTGGAACTGCTCTCAAAATCAAGTTCTAAACCACACAGTACACGTTACTGCTTTATAACTATGGCTCCTTTTTGCCAAAAGATCATTACCCAACTAGGTTATTCACCAAACTTAATTCCTAATAAACTTCACTACTTAAAAAATCTACACAAAGAGGAGAAATATTTGTCATCAACACATTTTGCAAATTAAAACCAAAGTACTGAAAACGTTGAGAGCAGTTTCAATGGTTCCTCCAAGTATACAGCAGATGTATGCGTGTACACAGATGCTCAAACCACAAAAGGCCTTACCTGATAAACTGTCAATTGAAAATATCACAAAGTTGAAAATGGGCACTTCATAGACATGATGAAGTGCAAAAACACAACATCCAAAAAATGTTGGATATTCAGTCCCCTGGCATCAGACTGCCTCATGACCATGTGGCTGACTGGAAGCCATGGTTCAAGGTCACTGCCCCGCCCCAATAGAGAATCGTACCACCGATTACTGTCCTGGGAAAAGATCAAAACTCAACGTATGGTATCTACTTAATGTATATCACTTTTGTACCATCATAAAGTCGAAAAAGCATAAATCAAACCGTTGTAACATTGGGGACCATCTGTATACGTATGTACACCCTGGAATCCGCTTTAAAAACCCTTATCATGAGCTAAGACGAACTTATGTTACGTACATAAACTTCAGTTACTTGGGTTTTATATCACCTGGATTTAGCTAAGTTGAAGATTCAAAATGAAGCTAAATAAGGTTAAGTATTGCTTAAAAACTAAGAAATATGATTTAAAAAATATAAGGCCAGGGATGGTGGCTCACACCTGTAATCCCAGCACTTTGGGAGGCCAAGGTGGGCACGAGGTCAATAGATTGAGACCATCCTGGCCAACACAGTGAAACCCCGTCTCTACTAAAAATACAAAAAAAAATTAGCTGGGCATGGTGGCACACACCTGTAGTCCCAGCTACTCAGGAGGCTGAAGCAGGAGAATCGCTTGAACCCAGGAGGCAGAGGCTGCAGTGAGCCGAGATCACACCACTGCACTCCAACCTGGTGACAGAGTGAGACTCCATCTCAAAAAAATAAATCAATAAAAATAAATAAATAAATAAAAAGTATATACACTGGCTGGGCCTGGTGGCTCACGCCTGTAATCCCAGCACTTTAGGAGGCTGAGGTAGGCAGATCACAAGGTCAGGAAATCCGAAACCATCCTGGCCAACACAGTGAAACCCCGTCTCTACTAAAAATACAAAAATTAGCTGGGTGTGGTGGCACGTGCTGTAATCCCAGCTACTCAGGAGGCTGAGGCAGGAGAATCGCTTGAACCAGGAAGTTGGAGGATGCAGTGAGCCGTGATCGCACCACTGCACTCCAGCCTGGCAACAGAGAGAAAATCCATCTCAAACACACACACACACACATATATCATGGCAATGCCTTAGAATTCATTCTCTGGACAAGCACAAAAGTTATGGGTCAAACTGTATCCCACAAACGAAATACGTTGAAACCCCTAACTCCCAGTAGTTCAGACTGTGACCTTATTTGGAAAGTGTCACTGAAGATGTATTTAGTTAAGATGAGCTCATTCAGGAGTAGGGTGGGCCTAGGTCCTAACCTAATGACTGGTATCCTTGTTGGGGGGAAGAGACACAGAGAAACACAGGGAGAAGTCCATGTGAAGAGAGAGGCAAAGACTGCAGTAATCCATCTACAAGCCAAACAGCATGTGAGTCTAGCAGCCACCAGAAGCTAGAACAGGAGCCACACCCCTCCTGGCACCTTGATTTCACATTTTTAAGCCTCTAGAACTGTGACACAATACATGTGTTGTTTTAAGACACTCAATATTGGTACTTATATTACATCAGCCCAAGGAAACAAATCAACTTATTTATAACAAAAAACTAAAACAAGTTTTGTCTTTTCATAAAAGTGAAGGACTTATTGCACAGCACTACAACGGTCATTAAGTTCTCTTGGCTGGAGCTCAAAACTAATAATAAGCTCTATGGGAAATTACAGTGCAGCCATAAGAAAGCTTTAGCATATATTTAAATTATCCAACAGTACACTCATATAATAAAGAAGCCAATCATTTCTGGACTAACAAAAAGGCAGCACTACAGAAGTTTCACAGTGAAAAACCTTAATTTTTCAGTAGTCAAAAACTAAATTGTATCACCAGACTGTCTTAAGAACCTGAAAAAAAAAAAAAATTTTTTTTCCAAACTGTTCATGTAGGAGAAACATCAGTCAAAGAAATACTATGGTGTTGCAAAAGTATTCAAAAAATTCATGCAATACAGTTGTCCCTCAGTACCCAGGACCCCTGCAGACACCAAAGTCTGAGGATGCTCAAGTCCCTCATATAAAATGCTACAGTATTTGCATATAGCCTACACACATCCTCCCATATGCTTTAAATCATCTCTAGATTACTTGTAATACCTAATAAATGTAATGTTATGTAGACAGTTGTATACCATTCTTTTAAAATTTGTATTATTATTGGCCAGGTGCAGGGCCTCACACCTGTAATCCCAGCACTTTGGGAGGCCAGGGCAGGTGGATCACGAGGTCAGGAGATCGAGACCATCCTGGCTAACACAATGAAACCCCGTCTCTACTAAAAAATTAGCCAGGCGTGGTGGTGGGCGCCTGTAGTCCCAGCTACTCCGGAGGCTGAGGCAGGAGAATGGCGTGAACCCGGGAGGCAGAGCTGGCAGCAAGCCGAGATCACGCCACTGCACTCCAGTCTGGGCAACAGACAGAGACTCCATCTCAAAACCAAAATAAATAAAAATAAATAAATAAATAAAATTTGTATTATTATTTTTTAACCATTTTCCATCTACACATGGTTGAATCTGCAGGTGTGAAAGCAATGCGTGTGAAACCTGCAGATATGAGGACTGCCTGTATTTAATTCTCTTCCCCACCCATGCCTCTGTCCCCCACCTCCCTCTCTGCCAACGACAGTTTCCGATCCATGACTTACTAATGAATTATTTAGAGAAGTAATTTTACTACAGTTCTAACAGATATATATTTTGAAAGTTTAATTTGCTCACCTAGAAAAGTAAATACTGTAAAATTCCAGGACCACAAAACAAACCTTTCTAAAAACTCAACTGCTTCTAGAGAAACTCTACCCTTTCCATCTATAAGCAATCTGTAATTCCTACAGATCACAATAGAACCATGATTTTCTAGCTTTAGGAGTAAGACTTAAAGAGGACCCTATAAATAGCTTTTCTATTTTCTACATCCTCAGCCCTCCCACCCTACCCAACCAGCAGCTCATGGAGTTCAGTTAACAAGTGGTGCCAAGATGGCAAGTCTAGAATCTCGAATGATTAGGATTACAGAGCTGCCCAGGCAGAAATGGAAGGGCTAAGTATGGGAACATTCATGTATCCACGTATCCATTCATTCAGGATGGTGTGGAGTGTGATAGGGAATGATAACATCTGGTTTGGAAAATCCTGAGGTTGAGTGCCAAAGATACAAAAACATACATGCCCCAAAACCTACATGTGATGTGAAAAAGCATCTCAATACATATTAGTTTTAAAACACCTGAAAACTGGGCCAGGCACGGTGGCTTATGCCTGTAATCCCAGCACTTTGGGAGGCCGAGGCAGGAGCATCACTTGAGACCCACAGTTGAGGATCAGAATGCACAACCAGAGCAAGACCCCTGCCTCTACATAAAAACATTTTTTAAAAAATTAGCCAGGTGTGCTGGCATGCACCTGTTGTCCTAGCTACCCAAGAGGCTGAAGTGGGCACTTGATCCCAGGAGGACAAGACTGTGGTGAGCCATGATCACACCAGTGCACTCCAGCCTAGGCAATAGAGTGAGACCTTGTCTCTAAAAAGAAAAAGACACCTGAAAACTATTTGTAAGAAGAAAGGATGATCTTTCATATTACATTTAGTATAGTGATAAAGAGCAACTAATTCTAAATATTAAAAACAAAAAAAATATAAATCTTACTCAACATTTCCAAATGGTAAAAACCTAAGCTAGTAGGGCCTATCAAAAGTCTGTTATAATTTTCTGATACTTTTTTTTTTTTTTCCAAACAATTAGGATGTTTGGTACAATGAAATGGTATACAATGAGATAAATTATCACAGATGACACTTTGGAAGTCAACAAGTGTTAATATATATTTCAAAATTATTAATTCATTTAAAAATTGCCCTCCCATTTCATATTTATACTCCTTGTATGCCAAATCTTTTATCTGTAACCTTCATTTTTATCTTTATTGTCTCTCAGCAACAATAAAAATAAGAACTTCAGTTTTGCCCAAGTTATATCAGTTCAAAAACCCTACAAATCAATTCTAACTATACATATTAATGATTTTTTAAAGTTTATTTATAATATGAATATAGCTTCCCTGAAGAAAGTGCCCAGGATCTCTGAATGAACCACTAGTACTTGCCCCCTCCTGCATTCGAAAGCAATTGGACACATGCGACACTCCTGATCAGTGCTCCAGAGTTCCGGGAGCAGCGGTACCCTTGGCCCTCCTGCATCGCATGCCCAGTTCACGTCTGCAGGACAGGCGGGGCTCCCACGATGGCTTTGCACACCTTGGGAGGCGCCACTCACCTACCATGTGGATGGCTCCATCTGGAGTCTTGCTGTGTACAACCTCAACCACATGCAACATAGCATCTGGATGAGGAAGATGTTGAGAATGTTAAGGCTGCTAGGAACTTACTGCATGCACAAGGCAAAGCAGAAAGGCAGGGGAACGAAGAGCTAAGGGCTTACCCATATAAGTAACGCTGGTAATAGGACACACAGGCTACAATACAGACTTCTCACAAGGCAGTTCAGAAACAAGATCAGAAATGTACAGGGAAAAAGATTTCCAAGTAATTGAGGAAGCATCCTGGCCTCAGGAACATAACAATGAAATAGAAGAGACCCAAATTATGGACTAAATCCTGGGATATGGGCCCATCTAGGTTCTTCAATCCCCTCTCAAGTCAGGGCACACACTACACTCTGCCCAAAATACAGCGAAAGTAAAAGTCTGGCCCTTCACAGTTACATCACATCACACAAAGTGAAAACCACATCTCCTAGTACGCCTAGGCTCTATGTATAAATTTCTTGAAAATGTTTAAGTTGTTTAAAACCCACAACAGCAATAAAATTATAAACGCTTAATGCTATAAAATATGCTTTTAAATTTTAGAAAAGTCCAAGAAACTGATTTTTAACATCTATTAAGTTTTATATCTTACTTAAGGTATGTCTCATCTCTCCAATTAAACTATAAACTCCTTAAGTGAGAACTGTTACATGTGTTGTCCAAAGCACTGACACACAATAACTTTCACTATGTAAATGTTAAAAAAAAAAAAAAACTTAATCATTATTTTAGAGCATCTTCTTATTTAATAACACATAAAGAACAGTGTGAACAAAGAGAATACAATAATAGGAATTTACCTTTGAAACTACTAGAACTAAAGCCAGCTAACACAACAGGTGGAATTTTTAAAAAGCTTTAATTTTGAAGATTTTCAACTTAGTGAAAATATTTATACATAACCGAAGTTCAACATAGGACTAATGAATCTCACAGAACTGAAAATTAAACATTTTGTCTTATCCTAAGTAGATGTAAAAACTGTACTGATAATGTTTCTAAAACTTCTAATATTTAAATTTCATAAGCAGCTAATCTACCAGATTAGTCAATTTTTTCAATCTTTAAGGGAGGAGGAGAAAGCAGCCAAGGCCTTGGTGGTATGCAGCACTGGCCCCCAGCAGTCTACTGTGAGCAGGGGCCCTGAATAAAGGGTCACGAATGTGCAATTGTCCGAAAAATGACAGAACACAAAAATGTCTTGGAGGAAATAAGTTTAATTTTTAATTTATCAATGGGAACTTATCCAAAAAATAGTTTGATATTCTATTTTCCTCAGATAAAAATCAATGTTAATAATATGTGTTTAATCATCCATTCAAAAGAAAAATCCGTATTTTCAACTCTTTTTTAATTGCCAACAAAACAGGAATTTTCAAAGTAAAACTGAGAGCATGGTTTTAAGATTTGACAGTATGATTTTCACCTGGATAAAAGCTGACAGTGAAATTTACTTTTTATTTCATGCCATCCTTACTTTTTTGTGTTTTTAGACAGAGTCTTACTCTGTCACCCATGCTAGAGTGCAATGGCACGATTTCAGCTCACTGCAACCTCGCTTCCTAGGTTAAAGTGATTCTCCTGCCTCAGCCTCCCGAGTAGATGGGATTATAGGCATGTGCCACCACCGCCGGCTAATTTTTGTATTTTAGTAGGGGCGGGGTTTCATCATGTTGGCCAGGATGGTCTCGAACTCCTGACCTTAAGTGATCCGCCCGCCTTGGCCTCCCAAAGTGCTGGAATTACAGGCATGAGCCACTGTGCCCAGCCTCAAGTGACATTTCATAAGAAAACTGAGAACCCAACCTGACAGGAGCCCAGTGCTCCAGGAGGCCCCAGAGTCGAGACCTGATGCCCACAGGCTGCTTTTCTCCTCTGCCCTCATGCGTGTTACCTTGTCACCAGCCTTCTGCCCGCTTGTCTTCTTCTTACCTTGTCCTTTATACCTTGGTATCTGAGCATGAGAATAAAATGAGATTTTACCACAAAATAGAAATATTTAAAAATAAATTAACTCATTACCAAACAAAGATGCCTATTGAAAAATGTCTCAGAAGTGCAACATCTAGTGAATATGTTCTGTGAGGCCTGCTTTTTTGGTCCTCTCTTAACTCTATTCCTAAAGTGATCTACCTCATGTTTACTGTTTCCAATAGTTACCAGGTCAAACACAGATACTGCAGCCTCCACCTGCTCAGCTTCTACTGGGTGGAGAATCACCTTTCATGCTACATTTTAGCAGCATACTAAATAAGCCTCACTTGAGTTCCTAGGAAACTTCCTTGAAGACTTGTCCTGACCTCATCTGATCTTTCTCAGGAGCACACAAAGCTGGTTCCTAAAGGTTGGGTGGATGCTACTCTTGGAGAGTTTCTAGCATTCCCCATGGGCCCTCAAGGCTGATTAGGTGGCAGTAGGAGGTAGCTAGCAAGAAGGGGTTAGGGAAAGTACTGGATCCCAAATCCAGGTCCTTTAGTACTAGAGAAATTGCATTTTACGTGTCAAAATAAGCGTTTATCTTAGAACAGATGCAACCCTACACAAGGACTATCTAGGGTGTTTCTGAAAAGGGTTTATGAGGCCAACTGAGAAATGGGGACTCAACTATATAACAGGATGGCAGCAGGAGAAGCAGAGACGGCTGTTAGGACAAACGCTGTTCTCAAAAGCAGCCTCAGGACAGTCCCCGCTTCTCTGGAAAAACAGCATCATTTCCTGACTGACCTAAAACACTGAGATTCTCATTTTAATTCTAGATCTTAAAATGTATGTAGAGAGAATAAGAGTACATAAAACAGACTTTAATATTTTACCCAGAAGACATACCCTATATGTAGAAGGTTAGGATTGCTAATTTGCTTTAAACACAGTAATAATTTGCAAAAAGAGCTTCCAAATAGTCAAATGCTATAGGTACTGATAAGTATTTTGGAATATTCATTAATTTTAATTTTTCTAAAGCCAGATATTTTCATGAAAAGTAAAGCTTACTTACATAGGCTGTTTTATTTGCAATTAATTTAAAGAAATTTTAAAAACTTACTCATGACCTTATTCTGTCTTTGGGGTTATAGCCTCCTATGAGTATTTAGGAAAAAAAAAATTTAAAAACAGGCCGTCCCTACACCAACTAGAAATCTCAGAGGGAGCAACCATAAACAATACAATAGTTGTTCCCTTGGTTAGAAATAAAGTATAAAATTCCTTTAGTTTTCCAAACTTAAATAAAAGGAGAAACAACATCAAAGAACAAGCAAAAAATAACAGCAATCATTCAGCAATGTTCTGTGCCTAGACATTTAAAAAAGAAAGGAATCTTGCAGTATAATCACTACGCTCTAGAATTTCATCTATTTAAAAAGATGCAACTATATCTGAGAGTCGATCCACCACCATAAACCCACATGGGGCCTCATCTTTTGGAATGGACTCCACAGCATCACTCTGTTCTTATGGGATGAAAATCAAAGGGAAAGTCAAAGAATACAAACCTGACCTGTCATGGGCTGCAGGTTTGTGTAGTCCACAAACCGCCAGCTCCTATGTAGAAATCCTAACCCTCGATGTGATGGTATCAGAAGGTGGAGCCTTTGAAGGGTGAGCAGATCATGAGGGTGAAGCCTTTGTGAATGGGATTAGGGCCCTGACCCCAGAGAGCTCTCTCACCCTCTTTCCACCACATGAGGACACAATGAGACGGCAGCTCTCTGCAACCTAGAAGAGGGACCTCACCAGACCTAACCACAGTGATGCCGTGATCTTGGACTTCCAGCCTCCAGAACTGTGAGGAAAACTTTGTTTGTAAGCTGCCCAATCTATGGTACTTGGCAGCCTGAACAGACTAAGACAGACCCAAACCTATCCTTTGATAAGACCGCCTGGGACCACCAATTCAAGCTACACTCTTGAGAAAACAAATGTCCTGACAATCATCTTTCTATCCATTCCTACATATCCTGGATCTTAACTTCAAAGTGTATAGCTCATTTTTTTTCTTTATGCTTAACCTCTGAAATCAAGTCTTACTTTTAACAACTCATAAACACACAAACAGATGCACACATGCATACACACATAAATGTAGCCAAAGTACATACATTTTCTTAGAAATTCTATCAAAACAGCCCATGTATATTAAAAACCATCAAGATTTACAATTCTGAATCTCATCACCCATCTAGAAGTCTAAAATATTCATTCAATATTATATCCTGTAATACATATTCCTAGCTTAATATTCTCAAGCTAGGAATTTATAAATGAAAAATAAGTAAATCCTCTTGTTAATAGGAGAAAAATGTCCAAAGTACCAAATAAATCCAAATATTCTGACTCTGTTACTTACCAGCACATTCCTTTCTACGATACAAATGTCAAACCACCACCAACAAAGCAAAAAAAAAATTTGTTTTAATGTATACTTAATGGAAAAAAAGCATCTTCAAGAAACTAAAGAGCCCATGTGTTATAAAACAATACAACTTGTAACAAGAAAGACTAGAGAGAGAAGAGCAGAGCCCTCTGGAGTTGAGTCCAGACACGACTTCTGGGTTCTCAGCTCACTCACCTTACTTGATGTTGTCTGTGCACTGGTTTTTCCCTCTGGTGACTTTGGTGGAGGATGTACATCAGATAGATCTAGTGCACCCTAAAATATTTTAGTTTAAAATTAAAATACATTTAAAAATAAAACACGAATATACCAACTATACTCCAATAGAATTTTAGCATTTAGAAATACTACACAATGTTGGTATTTTATTTCTTCTTTATTAAAGTAACCATTCTTTTTAGATTTTCCTCTAATTTTACCCCCTCAAAAACCTTCTACACATCCCTAGATTCTAATTACCTGCAAAATATTTCATTCATTCACTTTGAACAGGATACTGTCTCCACTGAAATCTGTCCCAGGTCTACCATTCCAACATTTACTTCCTCACCTCCCTTCTCCCTATTCTCCAGACAAATAATATCCTATAATTCTCTAAGATCTACTTTTCGCCCTCCTTGAATTTGTTTCCCTACTTCATTTTATCTCAAGAAAAAATACTAAATAACAATTTTCATTAAAAATACTTTACCCCTTCAAATAGTAGTACACTCTTCCACTTTTCGACTTCCACACCTGTTCTAGCCCGGCTTCCACAGGAGTCATCTGTGTCTGCTGCCCAGTGCCCTGTCACCACAGGGTTCTGAGCACTGTGGTTAATGCCAAGGAGGAGGTTTTTAAAATGTTTCTTAAATGAAAATCACTTCCTACAATTCATCCACTACCAGCACAAGCTCTATGACACTGTGTACATATTAACTATTGGCTGTTTGTTACAAAAATCCTTTTATGACTGACAGTAACTTTTTAAATAGGAAAATGTGCTGCTCTTCATAACTTCAGTTCTCCCTCTTCAGTCCCACTATTTCTGGTGGTGACACTATCTTTTTCTAGGCTAAAATCCTTAAACTGGCCTTTGAGAGCTTTTCTTTTCTCATATTGCCTTCTATGACCCTGCCCCATGCCAAAATATTAGTTTACCAAGTCTTGTTGATTCTTAAAAGGTCATCTTAATCTATCCATTTCTTTTTCTTTCTTTCTTAATCTTTCTTTTTTTTTGAAACAGGGTCTCAGTCACCCAGGCTGGAATGCAGTGGTGGATCTCGGCTCACTGCAATCTCCGCCTCCCAGATTCAAGTGGTCCTCCCACCTCAGCCTCTCAAGCAGCTGGGATTACAGGAATGCACCACCACATCCGACCTTTTTTTTTTTTTTTTTTGAGACTGAGTTTCATTCTTGTTGCCCAGGTTAGAGTGCAATGGCGAGATCTTGGCTCACTGCAACCTCCGACTGCCAGGTTCAAGCGATTCTCTTGCCTCAGCCTCCCGAGTACCATGCCCAGCTAATTTCTTGGTTTGTTTGTTTGTTTGTTTATTTTGAGACAGTCTTGCTCTGTGGAGTGCAGTGGCGTGATCTTGGCTCACCACAACCTCCACCTCCCAGGTTCACGCAATTCTCCTGCCTCGCCCTCCTGAGGAGCTGGGACTACAGGTGCACGCCACCATGCCCAGCTAATTTCTGTATTTTTAGTAGAGACAGGGTTTCACTATGTTGGCCAGGCTGATCTCAAATGATCTGCCCGCCTCAGCCTCCCAAAGTGGGATTACAGGTGTGAGCCATCACACCTGGCCAATTTTTTTGGATTTTAGTAGAGATGGAGTTCCACCACGTTGGCCAGGCTGGTCTCGAACTCCTGACCTCAGGTGATCCACCCGTCTTGTCCTCCCAAAGCACTGGGATTACAGGCATGAGCCACCATGCCTGACATTAATTTTTATATTTTTAATAGAGACAGGGTTTCACCATGTTGGCCAGGCTGGTCTCAAACTCCCGGCCTCAAGTGATCCGCCTGCCTCAGCCTCCCAAAGTGTTGGAAGTACAGGTGTGAGCCACCATGCCCAGCCTGTATGTCCACTTATTTCTATTCTTACTGCTACCATTCTTGTCTAGATTTGCCTTCTTATGTGTTTCACTTCCTTCTAGTCTGCTAACTTCTCCATATTTTACCAATCCAACCTCTACAAATCTTCCAAATGGGTATTCCTGTTCGAATTTTCAAAGGCTTCCACTGACTGTGAACAGTATGTTAAAAATCACTATGCCAGCCGGGCGTGGTGGCTCACGCCTGTAATCCCAGCACTTTGGGAAGCCGAGGTGGGCAGATCACATGGTCAGGAGATTGAGACCACCCTGGCTAACACGGTGAAACCCCGTCTCTACTAAAAATACATTAAAAAAAAAATTAGCCAGGTTTGATGGTGGCCGCCTATAGTCCCAGCTACTAGGGAGGCTGATGCAGGAGAATGTCATGAACCTGGGAGGTGGGGCTGCTGCACTCCAGCCTGGGCAACAGAGCGAGACTCCGTCTCAAAAAAAAAAAAAAGAAAGGCATAAGGCTAGAAAGAAAGGTTAAGGCCACATCACACAGAACATTTCATAAGGGCTGAAGAATCTGGGACTCCTGAGTCGGCAGTGCAGTCACTACAATCGTACAGAAGAAAGGAACAGAGGAAGGGCTGAAGTTTAAAAATAATTCTGCAACAGTGAATGACAGACTGAAAGCGTAAGAACCTTTAAGAAGAAATGACCCTGGACAGACATAAGGACCTACATGGTAGAGGTGCTGAAGGAGATGAAAATGATCCGAGGGGCTCAGAAAACAAGAAAGGGCTTTAATTACCTACGGCTGGGGAGCATCCAATAAAATCAAACCAAAGTCACATTAAAGCGGGTGGGGCATAGCAACCTAATTCTTGAGGTGGTTAAAATGCAGTTGTGGTAAAAAGTATCAGTCATTTAGTTTAGTGAACTTAACCTATAGCTAGTTTTCTACAGCCAAAGTCAAAAGCTAATAAAAGCTCTAATATTTTATTTCATTATAAACGACAGGTTTTCTTCCAAAGTAATAGAAAACACTAATAAATAATGAAGAGCCAAAACATACATCTTTGAGATCTCTATTTTAAATAATTTATCTATTTGTTTATATACATACACACAAACTATTAAAATTAAATACCCAGATACTAGGAAGGGAAAACTAGCAAAAAATGGAGATGAGATGCCCAACTTAGCGGTTCAGCAACTTGGGGGAGTAAAACAACTACCTTTTGAGGATACAGAATTCCTATCCTGGGTCTATTTGACAGAATCACAGCTACAAAAAAGTCAAGGCAAACTTCAGGGGAGGTCTCAAATCCATGAGTCAGAATGGAGTACTGAAGAACAGCGATTCTGTGTCCATTTTCACATCACACCCACTACACAGGAATGCTACTGGGTGTCATTTTGAGGTACACATCTTACCCAGCAGAGAACAGAAAGCCCTCCAGCAATTCCTCTTTCTTCCACAGCCTGTTACCAAAGCTACTGGGTGCAAGGTGGAGAGTGAATCCTTCCTGACAGAATAACTGAATCTAGAGCACATGTGAACAGTCGGCTCCTTGGGATGAAACCAAGGAGTCACAGGAATAGAATCAATGAAAACAGAGAAGTGAGCAGGAAGAACTGGAAGAGGGTTATTTGCAGGGAGTAAGGTGGGATTTGCTTTTGTCTTTATGTTTTTACTTTTTTAGAGGTAAAGAGAAGAAAGTAAGTTTTTCCACACAGGATTCGAATGTACTATTGGGTTATCTGGGGAGGTATGTTTTGTGAAGAGCTGGAAATTCTAGTTTGGAGCTAGGATAAAGGACTGAGCTGGACTTAGGCAGACTACACTGAACTTAAACAGTCATCCATACAATAACAAGAAACAGTAATACTAATACAGTCGTCCCTCAGTATCCACAGGGGATTGGTTGTAGGACTCCACTGTGGACACCAAAATCCAAGGATGCTCAAGTCCCTTATGTGAAATGACATATTTGCATATAACCTATGTACTTCAAATCATGTCTAAATAACTTATATCTAATACAATGTAAATGCTATAAAAATAGTTTTATACTAGATTTGCATTCTTTTGTTGTATTGTATCCGAACATTTTTCTTTGAGATGGAGTCCGCTCTGTCGCCAGGCTGGAGTGCAGTGGCACGACCTCGGCTCACTGCAACCTCCACCTCCTGGGTTCAAGCAATTCTGCCTCAGCCTCCCAAGTAGCTGGGACTACAGGCGCACACCACCGCGCCCAGCTAATTTTTTCTATTTTTAGTAGAGACGGGGTCTCACCATGTTGGCCAGGATGGTCTCCATCTCTTGACGTCATAATTCGCCCGCTTTGGCCTCCCAAAGTGCTGGGATTACAGGCACGAGCCACCGCGCTCAGCCAATCCGAATATTTTCAATTCGCAGTTAATTGAATCCACTGATGCCTACTATAATGACACACAGAGTCCTCCGTGCCAAGCACTGTGCTCAAAGCTTCACACATCTTGCTTCCTTAGATCCCCTCCAGACCTATAGGCATGATACTTCTGTGATCTCCATGTTGCAGATAAGGAACCTGGGCACACGGAGGCTAAGTGACTGCAGGCTCACAGAGCTAGAATGTAGCAGAGCTGGGGTTTCACCCAAGTAACCTGGTTCCAGAGTCCATGCTAGTGGTATGTTAAGGAAGAAAGATCAATCTAGACACAAAAATGTGCATAAACACCACTGCAATGAGGTGAGCCAAAGCACAACTATTAAACAGAAAAGAAAATGAAAGGGCAGTTAGAAAGAGAAGTGAGTTCTTCAAGGGCACAGAAGCCAAGAGGGGAGAGCCAATAGAGGTCATCATGACCTACAGATTGCTGGCCCCAGGAGACTGGGTTCTTTAGTTTGTTTTTGATTGCCTAGTCCCCAGCACAGTATCTATCAAATAAGCACACAATAAAAGCTTGCTGAATATTGATAAATGAAGGAATGAAATTATATGCACAAGCTGAAGTGACAACTTGTGCTCTGGGCGAGCCGCCTCACTCCCAGCCAGCCCGGGATCTGGCTATGCTCTCCTGCTCCCACACTTGACTGGCACTGTTCCAACTTCTCGGAACACCCTTCCCAATCCTCGCCCCACAACTGACATCCTACTCTCACTTTAAAATTGACTTCAATAAAATTTTGGCATGTGACAATCGCTTCCTCCTCTAAACTATTCATAAAATGTTTGCAAATAATGTGTTAAATGACAATTCCTCCATAATCTTAAACTGTTATTTAAATGTTAACTTCCTTATTTGAGCACATTTTATAGCTTAAATAGCTTTGCACTCTTCAGAGACACAGAAGTTTCTTATATTTTATCTTATGGTACCCACGAAGTCTATTTACTGTGCCTTATATATATTAGTACTCAGGCAAGCTTTATCAATTTTCAAAAATTCTAATAGAAAGTATCCTCTGAGATTCACCAAAGAAAATAAGTAGGAAACCTATATAGCCCTCCACATTCTTACCTATAAATTGGACTAAAAGATCACATTTAATCAAATATCTGTAACAGTTACAGATGTTACCTATGTCTATAAAACAGAGTACCTTTATGTAAAATTAATGCATGAAAATAAAAATTAGATCATTAATCTCATTAGCACAATTTCTAAAAAAAAGGTTGAGTATGAAAAGTACTACTAATCAAAAAAGTATAAGTTTGAACTGTTTCTAAACAGTTTAAAGCAAAATCAACAGCTTAGTTTTAGGCTTAAAGAGGCCTTTAAGTCCAAAAATTTATTAACTATCCTATAAATCAGCCCTTTTATATTTAACTAAGATGTTTTAATAAAAATAACAGCAAGTTGAGTGCTTCTGTTGGCTTATGCAGAGAAGTCTCAGAACACCGAGGTAGGGCCTGGCAGAGCCCACTTCATACACAGTATGAAATGAATGGAGGATCAAGCGAGGCAACGAGGAGTTGGGATTTGTTCCAGACAGTTTAGCTCATGACCCAACACTCTTGAGGATCAAAAACCAGAACAGATGTGCCACAGAATCAAGAGTCAGCACATTCCTAATTTTCATTAAAATTTGCATTGATACAATCTGAATGCATTTCATTTCGTTTTTAAGGAATATCTTCCAGTATGAAAACCTTAATTTACTATATATGCACTAATCTGCATTGCTAAACTAAGTAGCCAATAATTAACATAGAAAAAGATAACACAGAATTCTACTTACTTCCCCAGTGGTTGGCCCTTTTTCTTTCTGTTGACAGCGCCTGATCACTTCTAATAATAATGGTCCACCCACAGTACCTTCTGCTTCAATTATACCTAAATCTCGAGCTAAATTCTCTCGACCTTCGAGACCTTGCAGCTAGAAAAGATGCAAGTGCACAAAAAAATAGCAGAAGTTATTTTCAAAGAGTAAAGAAAATATTTTCAGAGTTTAAAAACATCTTTAAACTCAGAGACCGTCTTACTAATGAATGAAATGTCTATTTTAAAAAATTATGCCTATTTCTTTTACAGAGCCTCTACTTTCAACGTTTTCATTAACAGGTGCAATCTAACATCGTATCAAAATTAACCCTACAGTAACACTTTTATTAGCAAGCTTTCAAGTAACACAAAGTAGCAACACTTGTGCCAGCTATCGGAAAGCTCATATGGCTTTTAAGAAAAACAGATAATCAACTACCAAAAATTATCTAAATATAAAAAACTATCAGTTGTCAAATTCTATTAACTTTCAGCTTAATATTGACTCATTTGTATCAAAGAAGGTTTCAAAGGATAGATGTAAAAATCATTATTCTTACTGTGCTAGTTTCAGGTTGAAAAACAGCCAAAGTAAAGTCAAGGTTAAAAAACTGAAGAAATTCTGCAACAAGACTAGCCACTAAACGACCTATAAAGATCAAGAAAAAGGTAAGTAAGCAAACCTTTAAAAACCGAATTTTTTAAATTAACATGAAATAGATACACTAAATTATGGAAGAAAGGTTTCTAAATTTTTTAAGTTACAAATTTCTTCTTTGAATAACATGATTAAATAATGAAAATCTCAATCTTCTAATTTTTTCACTGGGATCATCAGTCTGTAACTAACTGTAAGACAATCATCTCATAGATTTCAGTGTTTCGCTTTTTAATAGTTAACATTGGCTTTTTGTAGTAAAACTGGCTTTAAGCAACATCCCAAGTACGAAAATATGTAATAGCAACACAACTGTTGTACAATGAAATATTTTAAAATGAGGACCTATAAGAATTGCAGACTTAAAAAAACTCCCTGAAATTCCTGATTTCTCCCAAATGGTATCAAGATTCAACAATTCAGAGAGAGATAAACAAGAACAAGCTGAACATCTTACCATCTTTGGTATTTAAAAACTTTTTCAGGCTCTCATTGACTAAAGGAGTTTTGTTCTGTTAAAAAAAAAAAAAAAAAAACGTTAAGTGTCCTGTGTTTACCCTAAAAACAACTACAAAATATAAAGTTTAACGTTTTCATCGATAAAATTATGGTATTACAAAATCCATTCTATAACTGTTAGTTACTACAGGACTTACTTTGTGCTATTTAGTAATTTCTCAAAGTTAATATAACAAAACCATACATGAAGATTTGTATTTATTTTTGATTTTAAATGTTTTATAAACTGCTTTTGAAAATATTTGCAAATACCTGTGTGAAATAAAATTAAATGTCAACAACTGTTTATTATTTCAAATATATGAAGTTCGATGTTTTGTCATCTCAGGTATCTACCATTTATAGCATACTCATTATGAACAAGAATTTAATTATACACTTGTAATTCCCAGTTTATCCATGAAATGTGAGATGATCTTATGTGGCCCATAGGCCAATGTATTTTTCTAATTGTACATTTATTTGGATAAGTATGGAAAAAATACTTCTAGACCAGCAAGCCTCTGAGTGTTGCTGAGAACAGGCTACAATAGGTAGCACATGGTAAGCTTCCTTAAGACCACATTAATTGCTGCTACAGTGGCAGCCTCATACACTGCTGATGGGAATACAAAATGGCATAAGGAGTTTGGACAGCAATTTGGTTGTGTTTCTTAAAAGTCACAAATATTCCTAGCATGTGACCTAGTCACTTCACCCCTACTTATTTTCTCAAGCGAAATCACAGATCCAAGCAAAGACTTGTACATGACTGTTCACAGAAGCCTTACTTGTAACACTTAAAAACTGGAAACAGCCTAAATGTCTGTCAACAGGTAATGGCTAAACTGTCGTATCTATACAATGTATTAATGAAATGATTTATTAATACATATTACAATATGAATGAATTTCAAATGCATTATGTTGAAGAAACCAGACCAAAAAAAAGAGCACATACTACATGATTCCATTTATATAATTCTTAAAAAGGTTTGGGGTGGGGGAGAGGGTTACAAAAGGGGCACAAGGAAAACTTTTGAAGGTCATGGATATGTGCAGTACCTTGATTGTGGTGATCATTTCACAGCTGCATAAATTAACTATTAAAAAATCAAACTGTACATATTAAATACTTTAACTTTATTGTAGGTCAATTATACCTCAATAAAGTTGTTAAAATAAAAGACAAGGAGAGGAGAGATCATAAAGGTAGTTGGTAGGCTGGTTTAGGGAATTCTAAGATATTAAGTCAACTGAAATATTTAAAGAGAATGGAGGGACAAGATCAGATGTGTACTATAAACAGCCAATCTAGGAGCTATGTGGAAAAATGACTTCAGAGAGATGGTGAGGGACACCACGGAAAGGGAGGCTGGCATGTAGGAAGGGGATAAAGCAATCTGGAAAAGAAAAAACAAGCACAAAGGAGGCAGCAGAGCACTCCCTTGGGGACACTTCAGATACACACCTGACAGACACAGAGCCAGGTGATGACTGAGCAGGAAGTAAAAAGAGCAAGGCTTAAGAAACGCTTAGATTTCTTGCCAGATAAATGATGGTCCCATTAAGGGCATAATATAGTGGGCACTTTAACAGAAAGGTCTGAAGCTCAGGAGAGAAATATGCATGAAAGTTACAGGGCTGGAGTTACTGGATGAATAAGGTCAGTCTGTGAGAGAGTACAGAATGACAACTGTAGATAAGTCTCAGTCAGGTGTACAGGAAAAAGATCATGCTAAACAAACCAAGGAGTAGTCAAAAAAAGAAAAACAGAACAGAAAAAGGTCTCAAAGGTCAAGGACATTTTCAAGAAGGAGGAATCAAGAATGTCAATTACAGGCCTAGCGTGGTGGCTTACACCTGTAATCTCAGCACTTTCGGAGTTTGAGGTGGGAGGAATGCCTGAGCCAGGAGTTCGAGACCAGTCTGGGTAAAAGGAGAGACCCCATCTATATGAAAAAAATTTTTTTAAAAAACTAGCTGGGAGTGATGGTGTATGCTTGTAGCTCCAGTGACTTGGAAAGCTGAGGCAGGAGGTTGAGGTTTCAGTGAGCCATGATCGTGCCACTGCACTCCAGTCTGGGTGACAGGGTAAGACTTTGTCTCAAAAAAAGAACAACAACAAAAAAAAGAATGTCAAATGCCACAATCATCAACTAGGATAGGTAGGAACTAAAATGTGCTCACAATTAGGAGACTCCTCTTGACTGCAGCAAAAGAAATTACTTAGGGTGGTAGTGGTAGATTTAAGATTTTAAGGGATTGGCCGGGCAGGGTGGCTCACGCCTGTAATCCCAGCACTTTGGGAGGCTGAGGTGGGTGGATCACGAGGTCAGGAGTTCAAGACCAGCCTGGCCAAGATGGTGAAACCCCATCTCTACTAAAAATACCAAAAAAATTAGCCAGACACAATAGCAGGTGCCTGTAATCCCAGCTACTCGGGAGGCTGAGGCAGGAGAATTGCTTGAACCCCACCCAGGGGGCAGAAGTCCCAGTGAGCCAAGATCGCGCCACTGCACTCCAGCCTGGGTGACTGAGTGAGACTCTGTTTCAAAAAAAAAAAAAAAGATTTTAAGGGACTAAGGGGAGCCCAGGACATAATAAATAGAATAAGCATGCACATTCTTTTAAAATGTGGTTGTGCACACCTGTAGTCCCAGCTACTCCAGAGGCTGAGGTGGAAAAATCAAGCCCAGGGAGTTGAGGCTGCAGTGAGCTATGACTGCACCACTGCACTCCCGCCTAGGCAAAGGAGTAAGACCTTGTCTCAAAAAAACCAAAGCAAACCAAACCAAACCAAGTTGTGAAGGAAAAAAACCACAGTGGTATTAAAAGCAGAATGTGAGTAAAGGAAAACAGTTTACTCCTAATAGTTATTTAAACATGTTTTCATGCTCAAAAGAAAAGCCACCAGAAAAGGATGGGGTCAAAGATACAGTAAATAATTAAAGACTTGAAAGTGTACAGAAGACAGAATGATTATTCTTAGACAGGACAGAGCCTCTTCTAAAGCAGTAACAAAAGAGGTACAGATAAATATAGACACAGGTAAGCATTTTCACAGATGAGCAATAGATTGAGGGATAGGAGAGGAGGACACAAAGTTAGGATCTAATGGCTTCTACCTTCCCTGTGGAGGAAGCGACAAGACCAAGTGTTCAGAGAGAAGGAAGCAGGGGTGACACAGAAGGCTACTGCACAGGGAGGGTGAAGAAGAGAGCTGCTGGGCCTGCTCAGGACCTAACCAGGTTGGTACCTGCCAATTTGCAACATCAGCAATCCACATGGTTGACTGACTCTTCTCCAGGAGCACATATGTGTAAAATGGGAAGAGAGTTAGTTTGCTGGGTTAAATGATCATTGAGATTTCTTCCAGACCCCATATGACTGTAAGGCAAGGTAATTAGGGGTCCAGACCCATAGGGTCCAGAACAAAACGCCGCCAAGAGAAGACTGACGCCTGCAGAGACATGGAAAGGGCAAATAACTGAAGATTTTGATGAAATTAGAGATTAGGTATACAGGTCTAACGAAGTGAGAGGACAGGCGACTGATTTGTCATAAAGCAAGAGTTTAAGACTTTGATGATGGTTCTATTCCTGTTGACAAATTCCAGAATATTTACTCAGGATGGTTGGTGGGACTCAGAAAAACTTAAATTACCCACGTAAACATAGAGAAGTGGTTGCACTTTTAAAATAATCACTGTCTTTTTCATTGTCAAAATAATTGAGTGGTCAGATAATTTTGGGAAAAGTTGCATACTACATACCCCGTTTCATAGGAATTAATAACATATTAGCTTATTAAAAGATCTGAGTGAACCTGCACTTAACACAATGATAATGGAACCATTTCTTCAAGAAACTCCTATGAACTTTTGTTTCAGATTTAGCATTGGTATCAGAGTTACTGTGGTACCTTAACTTTAAGATTACCCCCAAATTCAAAAGCTATACGAAAAAAATAATTTTGGCTCTCTCTCAATAGTAATACAATCCTTAACAGTTCAAAATTATCCCTAGCTATACGTTAGTATAAACTATTTTTTAAGACGGTTTTTAATGAACAAGAAATTAAGTATTAACGAATACAACGATGTTAAAATCTGGAAACTTCATACCTCTACTTTTTCTTGCTCCTCTAGGGCTAAAAACACAGCTGCTCGGAGTTCAGCCTTAAAAAAAAAGTTAAGAAACAAGAAATTACCATTTCAAGACAATTTTCACAACAAGCTCACATTTAGCCAGCAACAAACACCAGCAAGCCAACGAGCTGGGTGGGCAGGTGCAAAGGCCAGAAACGCCTTCCGAAACGTTCTCAGTCACACAAGCTCTGTGACCCCCGGGCTTCGGCTGGACGCGCTGGTTTCCCGCCGCGGATCATGCCTGAGTCTGAGAAAGAGACGCTGGGGCCGCGCTCCAGGGCCGAGTTGCGGGCCGCCCGTGTGGCCCCCAGTCCCCACGGTCCCGCCCCCACGGAACGCAGCCGGGGATGGACCAGGCGCCCCCAGTCCGCGGTGCCCTCCGGGACCACACGAACGAACGAACGAGCCGACCTCCACTGTGGGGCTGGCAGGACGGAGGCCCTGCCGGGGCGCGCCCCCAATGCCCCCCGGTCCCGGTCCCTCGCCAGGGAGGCGGCCTCCTTGCCGCGACCGTTGTGACGACCGCTGTCCACGCAGGCCGTGCAGATCCGCCAGACCCGGCCCCAGCCTCTGGCCTCACCTTGATGCGGTTCAGGACCCCGCTGTTCTCCAGCGTCTGCACCAGCAGGTCCCGCAGCTCCGTGTCCTCCTCGGCCACCACTGCAGCCGCCGTCGCCGCCATCTTGCTTCTCCAAGACAACCGCCCAAGCCACTCTAACGGCCAACGGCTGCAGCACTGTCCGATCGGCGCGCGCGCTACGCAGCCGACGCAGCCAAGGCCCCGCCCCGACGCCCAGCGCGCTATCCCCGCCCCCTGGCGACGGGAGGCAGGGCACGGAGACCTCGGGGTTGAAGCTAGGCACCCGGCCTTGGTGAGCGCCGGCCCACTGAACAGCGAAACTTAGGGTGGGCGCTGGGGGCGAGGCTGCGGGGCGCGGGTGGGCACGCAAGGGGCGGGGCGTCGAGGCGTGGGGGGCGGGGCGTCGGCGGGGCCTTCAGCGGCGAACCAGTTGGCCGCCATCGCCTGAGGCGCGAGCTTTGAACCCGGCGAGCGGTGAGGAGGAGGCGGCCTAGCGCGTGGAGAGCTGACTCCGCCTGGACTCCGCCGCCCACGGCCGCATCCCCTAGCCGCACAGGATCGCCGGAGTCATATTATTGACATAATTAAAGCATACTAGCCTAGAGCCGGGCGGACTGCGGAAAGGAGGCCCCGAGACCGAACCTGCAGCCCCGCGGGCGTCGGGGAAGGGACTCCCGAGAGGTCGCGAGGGGCGGAAGGCCCTGCGGGTTGTCACCCAGAAATAATGTCCTGAGGCCCCCCGGCCAGGCGAACGGACACTGCTCGGCCAGGGTCTCCGAGGCTAACCGGAAAGGCACTAGGCCCTGGTGCAGGGGCGGGACGGCCCCAGAAGAGCCGAGGGCCGAGGAGGGCGTTAGGTGGGTCCGCGCTGCGCGAGCTGGGGCAGCAATCTCCACTCCCTCCTGCCTCGCGGCCCTCCGCCGACCGCCGGACGCCCGCGGAGAGTCCTGGACCCCTTCCGGGCCCTGGAAGCCCCGTCCCGCCGGAGACTACGCGCTCTCCTGGTGTCCATCCCGCCGCCTGGGCTGCCCCGCGCCCCTCGCCTTGGCAAAACCAGCTCCCCGGACCGAGTCCTGCCTTGGAGAGTGCGGGTGCGCAAGGTCAGCCGAGCTGTCGGTCCCGGGGTTTCGGGGTGCGCCACTGTATGGCGGCGTAAGCCGAGAAGTGCCCGAGGCCGGGCTCCAGCAATTGAGAGGCTGATTTGGCCACGGTGAAGGACGCTCCCGGAGGAAGGAAACGGGAATCAGAAACGGGCAGTGGCCGCGCCTCTCCCGAGGATGGCGTCGAGGGCTTCAGCGCCTCAGGGTGGGCGGGAGGGGAAGGCGGTGTGACCCGCGTGGCCGACGGAAAGGAGCAGCGGGAGCCGTCGCCTTAGGGAAGCTACAGGAAGACAGCCGGCCGCGCTGCGATGCGCAACACTCACCCTGAAGCCCTCGGCTCAGGCGCCAAAGGAAAGGCTCCTTCGGGCAGGACTCAGCTTTCAGCTTAGGTTTTTTCCTTTTGGCTAAGTCAATTGCAGTGCGGAGTTGTATTTTCCTTTCACAGAGGTGTGTCCAAGAACCATTCTTGGGAGACGCCTGCCGGCCGCTTTGGAATAGGGCCTGTCTGCCCATACTGGCTTCCAAACGCCTCTGTGTGTTCCTGTATGTGGGTGTGCACAGACCACAGGATGTCCACACTGGCTTCCAAATGCGTCTCTGTGTTCCTGCCTGTGGGTGTGTATGCACATGTCACGTGTACACACAGATCACAGGGTGTCCACACTGGCTTCCAAAAGTGTCTCCGTGTTCCTGTCTGTGGGTGGTCCACACTGGCTTCCCAAAAGTTCCGTGTTCCTGTCTGTGGGTGTGCACGCACGTGTCACATGTGTACGCACAGATCACAGGCCCACACTGGCTTCCAAAAGTGTCTCCGTGTTCCTGTTCAGTGGCACGCACGTGTCAGTGTGTACGCACAGATCACGGCGCACACCCTGGCTTCCAAATGTGTCTCAAAGTTCTGTCTGTGGGTGTGTACACATGTGCCACCTGTATGCATAAGATCACAGGCGCCCACTCTGGCTTCCAAATGTGTCTGTGTTCCTGTCTGTGGGTGTGCACGCACGTGTCACATGCACAAGACAGATCACAGTGGGGCGCACACCCTGGCTTCCAAATGTGTCTGTGTGTTCCTGTCTGTGGGTGTGCATGCACGTGTCACGTGTGTGTATACACAGATTACAGGGCATCTACACTCAGCTTCCAAACGCGTGTCTCCGTAATTTTGGCCAGTGGGTGTGTATGCATGTCTCACGTGTGTGAGCACAGATCACAGGGACGTCCGCACTGGCTTCCAAAAGTGTCTCCGTGTTCCTGTCTGTGGGTGTGCACGCACGTGTCACACGTATACGGGCATTCACACTGTCTTCCAAATATGTCTCTTTTCCTGTCCATGGGTGTGCATGCACGTGTCACATGCGTACGCACAGATCACAGGGTGTCCATGCTGGCTTCCAAATGTGTTTCCATATTCCTGTCTGTAGGTGTGCACACGTGTCACGTGTACACACAGATCATGGCGTGTCCACACTGGCTTCCAAACATGTCTCTGTGTTCCCGTCTTAGGTGTGTATGCCCGTGTCACGTGTACACACAGATTACATGGCGTCCACACTGGCTTCCAAATGCATCTATGTGTTCTTATCAGTGGTTTTGCATGCATGTGTCATGTGTACACACAGATCACAGGGCATCCACACTGCCTTCCAAATGTGTCTCTGTGTTCCTGTGTGTGGATGTGCATTCACGTGTCACGTGTGCACACAGATCACAGGGCACCCACACTGCCTTCCAAATGGGTCTCCATGTTCTTGTCAGTGGGTGTGCACTCACGTGTCATGTGTGTATGCACAGATTACAGGGCGTCCACACTGGCTTCCAAATGCATTTCCATGTTCTTGTCAGTGAATGTGTACACATGTCACATAGGTACACACAGATCACAGGACATCCACACTGGCTTCCAAATGTGTCTGTGTGCCTGTCTGTGGGTGTGCATGCACGTGTCACGTGTATGCACAGATCACGGGGAATCCTCACTGGCTTCCAAACGTGTCTCTGTGTTCCTGTATGTGGGTGTGTATGCACGTGTCTCATGTGTACACACAGATGACAAGGCATCCACAGTGACTTCCAAATGCATCTCTGCGTTTCTGTCTGTAGGTGTGTACGCCCATGTCACATGTGTACACACAGCTCACAGGGCACACACACTGTCTTCCAAATGGGTCTCTGTGTTCTTGTCAGTGGGAGTGCATACATGTGTCACGTGTGTGCACACAGATTACAGGGCGTCCACACTGGCTTCCAAACACCTCTGTGTTCTTGTTAGTGGGTATGTATGCATCTGTCACATGTGTATGCACAGATCATGGGTTGTCCACACTGGCTTCCAAATGTGTTTCTGTGTTCCTGTCTGGATGTGCACACACGTGTCACGTGTATGCACAGATCACAGGGTGTCCACATTGGCTTCCAAATGTGTCTCTGTGTTCCTGTATGTGGGTGTGTATGCACATGTCTTATGTGTACACACAGATGACAGGTCATCCACAGTGACTTCCAAATGCATCTCTGCATTTCTGTAGGTGTGTATACCCACGTCACATGTGTACACACAGATCACAGGGCGCCTGCACTGGCTTCCAGATGCATCTCCGTGTTCTTGTCAGTGGGTGTGCACGCACGTGTCACATGCATACACACAGATTATAGGGCATCCACACTGGCTTCCAAACACGTCTCTGTGTTCTTGTCAGTGGGTGTGTATGCGTGTGTCACATATATGCACAGATCACAGGGCATCCACATTGGCTTCCAAATGTGTCTCTGTGTTCCTGTATGTGGGTGTGCGTGCATGTGTCACATGTGTATGCACAGATCACAGGGATTCCACACTGGCTTCCAAACACATCTCTGTGTTTCTGTCTGTGGGTGTGTACGCAGGTATCAAATGTGTACATGCAGATCACAGGGCATCCACACTGGTTTCCAAACACTTCTCTGTGTTCCTGTATGTGCATGTGTATGCACGTGTAATATGTACACACACATCACAGGGCATCCACACTGGCTTCCAAACACATCTCTGTGTTTCCATCTGTGGGTATATACAAGTGTATCGCATGTGGAAGAGGTAGGAAGAGCCTGGAAGAAGTAAGGGTCGTGAAGGTGCAGTGCACTGTTGTACTGTTTGCGCTTTGTGTGTGTTTGGTTAGTTTTGCAAGAACATGTTGGTGAAGGAGAGAGAACCCCAAACAACTGATGAGCAGTGCTACTGAAACTCAAATATACACAGGAATGACAAGGAAACATCTATGAAAAAAAAAACAGATTCTGGAACTCCATCCCCCTGAGATTGTCCTTATGGGGTCTGCAGGAAGTTTCAGGAATCTGCATTTTCTTCTAATAAATGTAATCTACAGGTTATAATTTGAGATACAAATAGAATATATACAGTAAAAATTTGAAGTTTCCTGCCTAGCCCAACTCTTCTCACTGGTAGTGTCTGTTAAATTGGAAAGATATCTCTTTCCAGACATATTAATACCTTTTATACAGTTGACTTGAACAACATTAGTTTGAACTGCTTGGGTACACTTATATGTGGATTTTTTTCAGTAAATGGAAAATTTTTGGCAAAGGCAACAATTTTGTGAAAAACCTCACAGATGAATCTCTTAGCCAAGAAATATGGGAAAAAAAGAAAAGAAAAAGCTAGATATGTCATGAATGCATAAAATATGTGTAGATACGAGGCTATTTTATTATTTACTACCATAAAATATATACAAACCTGTTATAAAAAGTTAAAATTTATCAAAACTTGCACATACAGACAGACAGTTACATGGCACCCATTAGGTTCAAGAGAAGTGTAAACAGTTGTAAAGATGCAATATTAAATCATAACAGCATCAAATTCACTGTAGTACATAGTGTACTACTGTAATGATTTTGCAGCCACTTCCTGTTGCTATTGCAGTGAGCATCAGTGTTGCTGGTATTGGGTAAAAATTCCAAGTAACATAATCATCTCTGAGTGAGCAGTTGATCTCTCCAGTACCTTGCATATCACAGTAAAAGGTAAGGCTCTCACATATCTCTCGTGGTTAGTGCAGTACTGTAAACCTTGAGTAACACCATGGGACCCTTATGAAGTGCCATTAGTGATGCTGGAAATGCTCCCAAGAATCAGAGAAAAGTTAATGACATTACAGAAAAAGTTGAATTGCTTGCTATGTATTGTAGATTGAGGTCTGCAGCTAAGGTCGCCCGCCGTTTAAGATAACCCAGTATAAGGACTGTTGTATAAAAACAAAAGGAAGTTTATGAAGCCATCATTGCAGCTACACCAACAGGCATGAAAACCTTGCACTTTTTGGGAAATACCTTTTTATTTCATATTGCAAATGTAGCTTTTTGTGGGGTGCAGGATTGCTATGAGAAAGGCATACCTATATAATCTAATGTTCAAGAAGAAGGAAGTCATTATCTGACAAAGCAAAAGGAAGATGAAGGATGGTATGATAACTTTAAAAAGAGGTTTAGCTTTCAAAAAATGTCAAGATAACAGGAGAAGCAGCTTCTGCTGACCCAGATGCAGCCGATGAGTTCCCAGACACCATTAAGAAAATCATTGAGGACAAAAGGCCAAGCTTGGTGGCTCACGTCTGTAATTCCAGCACTTTGGAAGGCTGAGGAGGGTGGATTGCTTGAAGCCAGGAGTTCAAGACCAGCCTGGCCAACATGACAAAACCCTCTCTCTTCTAAAACTACAAAATTTAGCCAGGTGTGCTGATGCACATCTGTAATCCCAGCTACTGAGGAGGCTAAAGCATGAGAATTG